CGCCACACGCCGTGACTTGGCCAGTCGTGGGCGGGTGAAGCTTGAGTGGGGCGTTCATACATACTAGCGCCGAGTAATGGAGTTGGTGGGGGTTAAATAGACACTGTTGTGTGGTATTTGCGTGATACGTGGGTCGTATAGGGTGTATTTATGTATGAACCTTGGAAACCTTGGGACACTTGATAGGGTATTGTGTAGGGGAGGGTGTGTATGTGTCTACGGAGTATACGTATAGGTTAGCAAGAAGGCTGGAAAAAGTATCATCTTACCTCCTCAGCTCAAAAGAAAAGGCGCGGTCGATGCCGCGCCCCTAAACAGGGTTAGGCGACCCAAGTGGGTGGCGCGAAGGTTGTCGACTAACCATTTCATTAGTCCAAGATAGTGCATATCCCGGTGACTGGAGGGAGGATAGGAGATTGTATCTTATAGATCAGCGTTCAAGTTCGGTTGAGTTCGGTCTTTTAGTTAGTACAGAGTACCTAGGTAGTAGTAGAGACGGTACACTTATACACATCTCTACTATATCTTCTGCATATCTAGGTCTGATCCATGGATAGATATACTTGCTGTATTAACTGAACTCCCCCCTATACTCCTTAGACAGGGTTCAAGTCATCCTCCCTACCAGGATTGCACATGGAAATCCTTCTCATCCTGGCCAAAGTAGACGCGCACTGGCGTCTAATCTCAGCCGGAGCTCGTGCGGCCAGCCATCTGCACCCGGCCTAAAGGAGACATCGTTATCTCCGCACGCGCTCGAGGATCGGCTGCAAAGTATATTGAAGAGATCACTGCACAGCCCAACCTGCCAAGTACTGGCTGCATTGTTCCTCGGGGTCCACGCAATCTGGTACTTTGTCACTTGCACAGGCCGTTGCATTCGATTTTGACTCTAGTGGCAACCTACAGCCCACCCATTCCCTGTTCACAGCTGTGACTGTGCTCTTGCCCCCTTCTTTCCAGTCAAGTGCTGCAGCACCTTGGAATGCAGCCCAGGAATAACCGTTAGAGGCGCAGTCCCCTCCCCTCCCCCCCCCAGTTGCCTACTCTCGAATCGAACCGCCAGATCGTAGCCCCGGCCGATTCGCATGGATCATGGAGTACCCGGTCATGAGTGAAACAGACGCGTATCTCGGCTGCACGGACTCCCTTGGACCCAGTGTTGTCCGGGACTCCACACTCGAAATTCACCACAGCTCCGACTTCAAATCCCGGAAGAGTCCGGATCCACTCAGTCGCGCGCACTTTGTTCCTTATTTTCGATATCTCATGAGGCAACAAGAATCTTGCATAGCCACTCGGCAAAAATGGACAAGGGAAGTAGGGGATAGGGGATAGGGTTCAGGGGATTATATTAAAAGTCAACCGAGATTAAACCGAGCAAAACAAAGGGGAAGAAGTAGGGCTGGATACAACATAGTATGGATGGAACTGCCACGGACATCCAACGGAGCCGGGGATGTTTACCCCGAATTGTATGGAAACTAAGTGGGAATTCAACTTTGCACCAAGACCTGACAGGACGACGGAAAGTGGAAATGGGAAGGGAGAGATGACTTGCAGCTGGGGGGGAGGTCGATCCCACACGGCTTCCCCCTCTCGTCCTCGTCAGTTTACCTTTTTGGCGCAGACAAGCCGATTAGCCATAATTCGCTTTCCTCTTCCGACAAATCGCAAGCTTAGCATTCCCACCTTTGCGACGCCCGACCCTCTTCACAAATACACTATCCAACTCTCGTGTTTCCCGTTTTGGTCGGGAAGAGGAGAACTCCATTTAGATCGGCCGTGGGGCTCTCTCTCTCTTTCTCTCGTATGGAGGTACTCGGTATGGAGATACACTGTGTGTACATACATACAGTATGGAGTGTACGGAGTACTCCATAGTGCGTTACAAGCGGCCTAACGCCGAGAGTGGATCTTTCGCGTGAGCACGCACATCCACGTCTCTTAGTCTCGTCGGCCGAGCGAGAATCAGAAAAAAAACAAATAAAAAGACCCGAAAAATCAAGCAAAAGAAAAAAAAATAAACACTTGGACACAAAGGTACCTTAAAAAACAGCAGGGGAGGGAGAACCCTACGACTGACCCTACGGCCTACCCTACGACCCTGACAGAGTACAGTATCCGTAGTAAACCCGTACTCCGTAGGAATTGCACGAGAGAAAGTCCCCGTCTGTCTCCATCTTGATCCATTCCTGCGACGATAATCGACCCCGCCAAGCGCCGTTCCTCTCCTCCTCAGCTCCACCCATTGTCGACGTGGTCGGCTTGTCAGCGCCCGCAATTTCAAATTGATGTACGCGGGAGGAGACGCTTCTTGTCGAATGGATATGCCTCTGGAGATGCCTATGGCTATGGGTACACCCTGGGTACGATCTGGTGGCAACGGCCAGCCTCTCTCCCCACCTGCACTGCAGGGGGTTGCGCACTGTCCCGTGTAATATCACATCCGTTCTCCGGAGGCTCAGGAGTCGCTCCGTCTTTCTACATATTCCCGTCCATTTTCATGGGATCGCCCATTGGCTGAATAGAGTCAAACTCGGGGGCATGATTCAACCGTCTAACCATGCGCTCGCTTACTGGGCCTTCCTGGCCGACGCCCTGATTCCTTAGTTGCAGCGAGGCTGCAGCCGCTGTAACCATCGAGGATAGTCTCGGGTTTATCACCGATTTCGGTCCCCACTGGAACTGTTCGCAGAGGAGCGTTCTTCCCGGTATTAAATTTACCACTCGGTCGTTGGCCTTTGCCATTTGTACCAGATCAGACCAGGGTGTGAAGTCGGCTACTCTCCAGTACCTCTGTAGACTCCTGGCCTAACCTGGCCTGGCCTGGCCTGATCTAAACTAAGTGACCGCTTTCTCTCTTTCAGTTGGTCCTTTCTGACTGTGGACACAACGGTCTTGTCTCAGGCCTGGATGGATATCGATATGGATATGGATATGGCGCAATCAATTCTCACCGATGAAGTAATGCCAATTGGCAATGCCATTGCGTGTTGCGCCTCGTGTTGTCCCGTTCAAGTTACATGAATGGGCCATCGTATACTTTGACTTCGTAGATAATCCGCAAGTGAACCTATGATTCATGCTCGTTTTCTCATGGTCCACATTAAAATACTGCCAAGCCTTCACTCAATAAGCACAGTGTCCCCATCATGATATCTTCAGATGTCAATGCAAAGTACCTTCGGTACCTTACCCCATTAAGCAGGAAGTGACATGAAACCCCCCCCCCCCACGACACGAGGATCCTCGCAAGACCCCATGGAATAAAAACCACACTGTAGTAAACTTCCCATAAAGCAAGCCAAAGCAACGCCCAAAGAAGAAGATAAAAAAAGCGATCACGTCCTACGTACCCGAGTACTAGTAACCACTGCCCCATCCGTCCAAGCGCATGACATGCATTTTGATATGCGGTCATTGCGCCCCCAAACCCAACCCAGCTCCAGTTCCAGTTCCAAATGGGGCTCAGGCCCTCTCTCTCCCATGAACGACGGGAAGCACGAAGCTGTTTTTAGAACCTGTGTCTCTGGGTCAGGCAACCATGGCGTGTGGCCGACACTACACTTTCACACTGTCTGTACGCGGCTCTGAGGCTCATCTCCATATCCAATGTCCCGGGTGTGAGACCGGCGAGTCTAGGCCGGCATCCACGAAGATAAACCTGGTCGGGCTAGAACTTGAACTTGAACCTAGGTCCGACTGGACTCGCGTAGCCGATGTCTCCGGATCTTCATCTTCACAAGATGACCCAAGCCAAACAGAACCAGACCAAATCCACTGGCGAGCATGCATCGCTGTTCAATATGTATGCAAAGAGACGATCCCACCGCGGGACGGGTAGTTTGTGACGTCAAGTTAGTACCGTGACCTACAGAGCTAACTAGTTTCTGCTGTTCAAGTTCATGCAAGCTCGTTTCATAGATTCGTGCGCGGATCGGGGGATAAAAGAAGCGGAGGACCGAAAGGGGGAAAAGGGGAAATCGGAAAGGAAACTTTTCTCTTAATTAAGAGAAACTAAAGTACATACATCCTCCATATGTCTCCCAATCCCAAAAGAGAAATATATTACTTTCTCATACTGCATACTGCTTGAATTCTCGATTCCGAATGGAGGACATTTGCCCCGCCCTCCCCCCTAATACCATACATACATACACACACACACATACACTACTACACACTACTACACACTACTTAGGTACCTAGGGTACCCCCCCTGCTAACAGCTAATCTAAGCCATACGACAACTGTACTCTACTGCAGCGGGAATGCAGGAGTTACTTCCCCCCGAGCGCACTAATGCGCACATCTACAAGGGAGTAATGCAAAGGCGTGAGGCCGATAGCTTTCTAGAACCGCGGATGCACGATGCAGATGCAGAATGCGGCATATACCCCCTGCCACTTACTCCGTACAGAGTGTCTGGCTTACCTCAAAGGCCCCTCGGCAGCCCGTCAAAGGGGCGCCCTCATGCCGTACCCGGCGGTTACCTCGGAGGCGCAGGATAATAGTTCCATGCGCGCTGCTGGATTCGGAGAGTCGAATGTGATATCCGAGAATAGGTTGGATGTCAATGTATATACTAACAGGGATTTTGGGTGAATCCCAGGATAGGGGAAGTAAGAAGCCAAACTCGGCTGTCATATTGGATATTCTCCACAGTTTAGCAAAGGTTCTTCTACTAAGGTTTTACTTTTTATCTCCGCAATGATAGACATTGACGCCCTCCAGCAAACCATTCCGGGCTCTAGCAAAATAAGCATCACGACCTATCACAAATGCCAAAAATACCTTGAGCCCAGTAAAAATAAGAATAAGGTCAATCTCAGCCTTATCCTAACGGGGATGGGGGATGAGGGGGGGTGGTTTGGTCCCTGAAACTTGGCATGACAAGCAGAAGCAAGATTGGAACTCGGATTGGAGGCCGACTCTGACAGGGGTTGTGAGACGAGTCGTTCAAAAAGGCACCAGCATGAGACTCTCAGAGGGGAAATCTACGTAGGCTTCCAGAGCCACCCTGCAGGGTCAAAGCAAGACTCAAAGTCGACGCCACCAAACAACCCAACAGCCCCATACAGGTCAAAGTCCCCTTCTAAGCCCTCCACCCCGCCAGCATCCTCATCAGTCTCTTCGTGTAAGTTCCACCCGCCAGCAGCTCGCCCGTTCCGGGTGAAAAAGACCTCCACGTTGCACTTTTTCGACTTCGACTGCTCCTTGCTGTCGCCCACTGGATGCGAAGGGATATCAAAGGTCATACCCAGACCAACCGTCTCACCGACACGAACAGGTGTGGTAAAGTCTCGCCCTCCCCACGAATCATTCACAAATCGACACCCGTCATCAGAGCAGATTCCCAAACTCCCCCGTTCCCAACCCGGAGACCTCCAAGAAGGATACGGCCCCGCGACAAATCCCACCGTGAACCCAGACGCATCACCGTCCGGCCCCGCGCGAAGCCCCTTCAGCGTGAGTTCGAAGTAAATGGTCTTCTTCCGGCCCTGCGCGAACGGCGAGTCCACGGCCGCAAAGTACAGCGGTAAGTGTGACAATAGTGCGCAGTCTCCGTTTCGATCGGTCGAGCTTGCTTTCCATTGACCCTTGGATGGGGTGGTTAGTTTGCCGTGGAATTCGCGGGGTTGGATGGGTCGGATGGAGTGGGTGTTTGTCTCGTTCCAGACTGTTTGGGATGGGAGGACGGGGGTCCAGAGTGGGGTTGTGTTGCAGAAGTCGTGGGCGCGATCTGCGTCTGTGGCCGAGGCGTTGCCTGTGCCTGAACTGTAGTAACCTGATACTGGGGGTGGTGGGAGAATGGATGTATCGGGTACGGCTTCTTGCCAGTTGTGATATGGTGGTGGTTGAATTTGGGTGGGTGAGGTTGAGGATGCTAGTGAGTCTTCGTAGCTAGGCGGAGCGCCGAGGTGAGACATGTTGGATAATGCCTGGGTGCCTGGGTGCCTGCAGGGGAGGTTATGGGAGTGGGTGAGTGGGAGTGAGAATCTTGTCAAGAGGAAGTTGAGGAGGGAATTGGAATAAGGTTGTTGTCACCTGGGCATCTTCCACGGTTGAAGTTGCCAAGCGGGGCAGTGCCGACAATCAAAGAGTAAACAGTAGATATTTACATAAATATAGATATAAATGAATATATACCTAGGTATAGATGAGTAGAGAGAGAGATATATATATATACATAATGTAATAGCTGTTATACTAGTATCGTGTGACAAATTGCCAATCCAGCCAGTCAGTAGAGCAGAACAGAACTACGAGTGTGTCTCTATGTATACAGTAGAGTATAGAGTAGAGTATAGAGTAGAGTATAGAGTACAGAGTACTAAGTAAATCGTGAGGACTATCATAATAAGATCATAATTCTGACATAGTCCGTAAATTAATCAAAAACAAAACTTCTCGAGCTGTCACAAAGGTAGAGGGGATCATCGGGTCCTGCAGGTCTCACCTCACACAGTGGCAAGTTTGGAATTTCTTTCTTCAATCCTGCAGTTCATCCTTCAATTCTCGTTCCCTGGAGTGTTCAGGGGCTTCCCCTCTTCCCCTTTTCTCTTCTTCTTTCCCTGAATCGAAAGAGCATTCACTCGTTCAGCTCTCGATATCATAAAGATCACCCATCAGCCACCCCCTGGCCCCATGCCACTCTGAACGCCATGTCGGACGATCAGCCCCGCAGAAGTCGGCGATCCTCCATCTCCGAGCATATCCAGCGCGTCTTTAATGTGGATCGACTGGACAAGGTAAGAAAGTACTCTGTACTCTGTACATGAACTTCATCCCTCACCTTTGCCCCCCCTTTCCCATTGCTAACCTACCGAATCCAAGAAACGCCCGAGTGATGATTTTCAGGCGGAGGCGAGGCACGCTGCCTTGGTACCCAAATCCGAGATCACCATCGGCTTTGAGGTCGGCCCTGGCAGTACCATCGCGGGCGAAACCATGCCCAGTTCTTTCACTCTTTCATCTCAAAATTCTCGACTACCATCCATCAGTACGCCAAGTTCAAGTCCCCTAGTTCATCCAGTGCGGGTTCAAGATGAAGACTCCAAACAGCCGGCATCAGACATGACTACCCCTGATATGACTACCCTTAATACTAATACCGCCAACCATGCAACTACCGCAGACAAAGATCTCATCTGCAAATCTCCAACCTGGGAGAAAGAGGTCAACCGCAAAGAACGACGCGCCACCAAGCGACTCGAGGCCGAGCGCAAAGAACTCGAGAAACGCCTTTCCTCTCTGGATGAGGCCCAACTCAAATTAGAGCAAGGCATCTACGACAGAAGCTCTCGTCGCTTGACAAAAAAGCAACCGCTAGGCACCTCAGCCCGCTCATCGAGCGCCAATACCGAAAGACCCAGATCAGCAAGCTTTACCTCCCTTTTCTCGTCTAAGCGACGGTCTCGATCGCGAGCAAGTTCAATGACTGGAAGTGACCGGGAATCGCGCAGTTCAATCGAGAATGGACCCCCAACACTTCCCTTAACTTTGCCTGAACAGTTTGGTACTGCGGTCTCTCGGGAACTTGCAACCCGCCACGGAACAAGTCTGGTGCCGTCTCATCAGATGACTCGGGCGCTGCATCACACCACGGCCAAGTCGGATGATCTTCGTGAGAGCTGGAAGATGGCCGAAGAGTGGAAGAAGAAGAATGGAGGAGCAGAGCCGGACATGGACAACATCGTGACAACGAGAAGGGCATCGTTCAGATCGAAATTCAACAGGTCGGAGAAACACCCTACCAGCGGATTCTCCAATGGCTATGCCCCCAGCAAGGCTATACCTGCACCGGAGCCAGCTCCCCACGCACACTCGAAGGCGACGGAATTATCTGCAGATCTCGACCGCGATTCATTCACTGCAGCACTCCGAGCCGAGAGAAACACGCCAGGCATGGCAAGCAGAACACCCAACGCATCAAGTCCTCACAGTACCCCTCCGCGGAATAAGACCCCAAGAAATACTGCACAGCTTGAAGCTTGCCCGCCAGCTTCGGTCATCGCGGCCCGTCAAGCGAACAGCGCGCTGCATGCTCATCCAGAGAACTCTCCGACTCAAACTAGCCCGAAGGCTTTTCATGGCTCGACAGCGACAGCCGCATCGACAACGGGGAATTTCCCAAAGAAAGGCCGAGTCGATAATAGTCCAAAGACTTACAAGTCCTCTCCCCTGGCCCTGAATCCTTTTACAAACAAAGATGTCGATCAAAAGCACGAGCGGTCTTTAAAATCTGCAATGCAATCTACTGGTCATGGTCATGGTCATGGCCATGGAAATACAACGCCGTCTCGTTTCCCCGAGGGACAAGGAGAGCGCCGTTTAAATACAAATGGGTTTAAGAGATCAAGCCCACCAACTCGCCCAGTGTCGGACCATTCGATCGCTGCCAAAATGCAAGCCCCCGTCCCTTTCCAGCAACAGCGCCCACCAAATGATAAATCAAAAGAGAGCCGACCTGCGAGAATAGTCTCGTCCGAGATGAATGAGCATATCTCGAGAGATGCAAAGCTGTCTCCTCTAATGGTTCCCCCACTGAAACATTCTGGCAGACGAAACTCCACGCTGGGTAGCCTGTCAAAGCCAAACGAGACACAGGAGACGCTGAGCGTTGGGGCAGAGGCAGAAGTAAATGCAGAGGCATCGGGACTGGCACCGATACCAGTCCTTGATCAAGTGAATTCAAAGAGTGATTCCACACGCAAGGTCTACCAACTCACAGACGGAGGTCCAGGCAATACCTCGATGCAAAGCGTACACCGTCCGGGTCACAGTCGAACATCATCGCATTCATCATACGGAGGATCGAGCTACGATACAGCGGACGAAGAGGTATTGGATATATCCAAAGCTCATACAAAAATGAAACCGCCTCAGCCCTCGTCACCCCAGGCCTCGCCTGAAGCCCCCCCAACATCAAATCCAAGTCTCTCCACCTCGAGTTCAAGCTCAAGCTCAAGCTCAAGCCCAAGCATCAAACTTTCAAGCTCCAAAGTTCCCCTACGCCAACCCAACCCTGGGTACGCAAATACAAGAACCCGCCCCAAACGGAACAACCAACCCAAATGCCTACCACATCTCCATCCCAAGGACAAATCCAAATCCCCCCCTCGCCCCAGATGGCCCAATTGCAATGATGCGATCAAATCTCGTCCAAAGAGTCAAAAAGCCCGTAAAAGACCAAGTCCTCGCAAAGTTATTCGTCATCTGCTGCTCTTGCAAATGCTGGCACGATATGCCCTCAGAGATCTACGCCCGACTAGCATGTCCAGAGCGCCTCCCATCCGAATCTCGCCTCATCCGAACATTCTCTCGCAAAAGTTCGCGGCGGAACGCGATCTTTTCTTCGGACCCATCGGGTCGGGGTTTACCAAGTCAATTAAGGGTGGCGAATAACTCGAACAAGGGTGCTGGTGCTGGCCCTGGGACTGGGATTGAGGGTACCTCCGAGCAGCGAAATGGAAATGGAAATGGAAGTGGCGCTTCTCCTCCGTCGGTGCCTGTTCAATGCAATTGGTGTGGACATGGTATGACCCGAGCCTGTTGTCAAGGGTGGACTACTCTCGTCCAAATGCGCGAGAGGCATCACTAAGCCAAGCAAGTGGGTTGCAAATGATACTTTCACGATACTTTCACGATACTTTAATCAGATACACAGCGCGAACTTGCGACTTTTATTAGTATTCATGTCGGCTATTTTTAATGAAGATACGGATAAATGATTATGGTTAATGCTCCGTTCTTTTTGTATCTGTTTTGTCAAATGCCATTATGTATTTCACATTGGGATTGATTTCGTATTTATATCCATTCCAAGGTTATCGTAAATTGTTTATGCTCGTATGGCCACTTCCGAGTCTATGAAAGTATTTGCTAATCAACCGCCTTAGGCTCGTAAGCTACATGGATTGTTTAAATATCCACGAGGTACTTCACGGTGTACAAGTGTGCAACTACTAACTAGTTAGTAGTAGTAGTAGTAGTGGTCATTAGCCATATCATACTGAGAACTGCAAATATACCCAGCAGGCACTGCCTAGCTTTCTCGGTTCAATACTAGTATAGATTACCACAACTATTCAACTAGTACTAGTGCAAGTGCATATTCCCGCTTTGCCCAGCTTTGTGCCCAGCTTTGCACAGGACTAGTATAGTTCTACAAATGATCCGATCAAACCACCCCCAGGTCACGTGGATCCAACCCCAAGGAAAAACGGCGATCAACCACTGCTCTACCTACCCATCACCACCAATTCGCAATGACAACAGGCTACACCTGTGCCCAGTGCCTTCAGGTACTCCGTCAAGGCGTGCGGGTATCAACCCATACACCCGCTCGCCTGCAAAGTCTATCCCACGCCCGCCGAAGATGCGCAATCAGCCCATCCTGGACTCGCAGCTTTGGCTCCGAGCGCAGCAACAACAACCGCCCACTCGGAGCAAACGCTTTCGAGCAGACTAAGAATGTATCCGCAAAGTCCCAATCTCCCACGCTGTCCCAGAAAGCCTCCGCCTCAACCTCCACCGGCCCCTCAGTCGACACGCGAGCCCTGCTAAAATCCGACAACCTATTCCACTCCTTCTCGAACTCGCCCTCGCCAGCAATCCGCCAGCGAGCAGCCTTCATTAAACAAAACGCCTTCTGCCCACACCCAGATCACGCACAGACCCGAGCCCCCGTCTCGCCGCACGATCCCGAATCGCGAAAGGCCCAAACGGCCGGAGAATCCACCAGTCTGCCCCCAGCACACTCGCACTTCGAGTGTCCCGACTGCGGCGTGCCGGTCTACTGCTCCGAGGGCCACTGGATGGACGATTTCGAAGCACACCTCGAAATTTGTGACACGCTCCGCCAGATCAATGAAGATGACCACGATCTCCAGTCTGGCCGCTTCTTCCCGGAATTCAATTACCCCGGCGTGCAGGATGATAACTACGTCGTTAACATGACGAACTGGGATACGCTCATGTATACGCGCGAATTTGACGCCGTGAACGACGATCGCTCCATGCGCCAGGTCACCCGCATGCTCACCTACCCGCAGACCATTGCCAGTGTCTTGCACGAGCTCAGTCCGTACAGCATCCGCGGCAAGGACCGCCTGACGCCTGAGGGCTTGAAGAGTGTTTCCGGTATAGTGTTTCCCTGTCCTGCCCCGATTCAGTCCAATCCAGTCCAGTTCAGTAGAGACTCTTCAGAACCAAAGCTAACAACCTAGCCCTCCGCTACTCCCTCCACCCACCCCGAACAGGCGAAGACATCGACCTCAAAGGCCTCCGCCTCAAAGCCCCCCCCAATCCGAATCTTCATCCTCGGCGCCCGCGCCGAGTCCTCCCTCCCCCGCGACGTCTGGCTCCAACTCCAATACATGTTCCCGCGCTCCCTAATCCACCTCGTCTTCATCGGACCAGAGAGCATGTCAAACCGAGACGCGGAGTTCCCGCTCCCCGAACGCACACCCGCCAACCCCTTCGGCGGAATCGTCGAGGACCGTCTCGGCGGCCAGATGAAGATCACCACGTACGTCGATTACTTCCACACCATGTATCAGGCGCAGTATTTCCAGCCCTTCGACCCGTACCTGGATGTATTTATGCTCTTCCACCCTGGCCTGGGCCACCCGGCCTCGTCGCATGAGTGGGAAGAGACGCTGCCGCAGTTGCTGGAGACGAAGGTGCCCATCCTTTGTACCGGGTATACGCAGTGGGACATGGAGCGGGATATCAAGTGGGTGGGTGAGAAGTGTAAGGGTGAGTTTGACATGTTGCTTGAGCCTGGCGAGAACATTTTCCGCAGTTTGAGGTGGGATCTGAATGATATGGATCCTCACGATATTTCGTGCGGGAATTGGGGGTTGTGGGGGTTCCGGGGGAAGAGATATGAGGCTGCGATGAGTGAGAAGGAGTAGGCGTGTCAGTTAGCGTCAGCGTCGGCGCCAGCGCGAGGCTCTGCTCTGCTCTGCTCTACTCTACTCTGCTCAGGTGATGGATATCAAGCGCCTTTCCTTTCCTTTCCTTTTTGTACTATATTTGTTTTCTCTGGCTGGAGATATGTAGTAGATAGAATTCATTTCCTAGTTTCTCTCCTCTATGGCCCGGTGTTGCAGTTCTAGTTCTCGTTCCAGTACCATATTCAGCATCCAATGATATTTCTACATGATTCTCCACAATATTACAGGGTACAGTATGTACATACATATGTATGTACAACGTTCTCGTAGCCTCGTCCCCGACAGACTCGGAAAGTGATCTTCAGATCCGCGGATGTGATGTATCTATTAGCTGAGCTTAATGTATACCTTACTTCGTACCGTAGTATATCGCATAGTACAGTTGTACTCCGTACTTTCCAATGCAATCTACATGGAACTACAACTACAACTACAACCCTTTAATTCGAGTCCCATCAAACCGCATTTAAATTGATACTCTCGCAATAGCACAGAAACATGGGAATTCCATAAAATAAGATAATAGTTTTGAATTGGATAAGATAGAAGGGTATTGGCATAAAAGGGTCGGAGAACATAAGAATAAAAATAAAACAAAACATCCCGTCATCGAACTAAACATGATGAAAAGAATATGTATGGTGAAAGAGATGGAAGAGCCGGGCCGGGCCAGAAGAGAAGTGAAATGAAGAAAATGTGAAAAGAATAAAGAGCCCGGCCAGAGAGAGAAGTGAATCAAGTCAAATGAAATCAAATCAAGTCAAGAAAATTGGCAGACGTCCAGTCCAATCCAATCCAGTCGATCTTCAAGATCGAAGTCGAGATCGAGATCGCGCGCGCCCGCGACAGCACCAGCAACACCGCAGTCAGCGGCATTAAACCATCAACAAACCCGCGACAGCCAAAACACCAGCAAAGCCAGAGACCTGCAGTGAGGAGGCGGCGTTCGCAGGCGACGCAGTCGCAGTCGCGGCTCCGGTCGCGGTATTCGGCTTGACGATAATAGAGGTGGACTTGATCAGGGGGGTTGAGCTGGGGGCGTGGCTGAAGCTGCTGCTGGAGAGAGGGGTGCTTGTAGGCGCGGGAGTGCTGGTCGAGCTCGGGGTGACGGTTGAGGTCGAGGATGGGGTCGGGGTCGGGGTTGAGGTGGGAGTCACATAGTCCGACGGAACCAGGGTGAGGGTTTGAGTGACGCAGGATGGGGTTGCGGCCTCTGCGGCGAGGGCGGGGGCCAGGGCTGCGGCCAGCAGGATGAAGGTCTTTGCGAAGTGCATTGTTGTTGTGGGGGTGTTTATATTGGGGAGGTGGTGGGTTGGGGTGAAGTTGGTTTCGTAGTGATTAATGAGTGAATGGAGCTGGGTAAAGAATGGACAGCCCGTGTCTGGGTGAAACGAATGGCACTGCTTCGAAAAGTCAGGAAAGGAGAGTTGGGGATGAAGAGAAGAGAAGAGAGGGAGAGAGTTGCGCGGGTGGGAAATGAAGGCCCGAAGATTACTGGATGTTTAGCCTGTTTGGGGTTAGTTTGATACGTAACCGCGCGACGGGAGGAATGTTACCAAGGGTTTAGTCCGGTTAGAGTGGAGTGTTTAATTTAATTATGACGGAGGAAATTACTGTTAATTAAATTGCTAGGGTAAAGTAGGGTAATAATAATATCAATTATAGCAATGCTCAAGCTATGTATATCATGCAGCTACGCAGAGTCGGCATTGTTCAGCATCATCGGGGTATCTAAAAAAAAATACAAAGACATCCCGCCCAGTCATGTCATGTCAAGTCATATCGCCGTCAGCAATCTTGGCATACCCCAACAAAGCAGCCAAGAGCAACGAACAAGCCCAGTGTGAAGGTATACGCAAAGGTAAAGGTGAAAAAAAGGGATTATTTTGGAGCAGCAATAGCGGCGCGCTCAAGCGTTCGCGAGGTCGAGTCAAAGTCGAGCCAAGTCGAATCAAGTCGTTAGATCATCGAAACAGTAGCAGCCACAACGGCAAAAGTCAACCAGTATCCACTCGCGTGCATAAGGGTCATGACCGCGGGCGAAGCCCCCGACGCAGTCCCATCGTCCGCAGTAGTCCCGTTGGCAAGAGTACCGTTGATATAAATCTTCTCGGTACCGTTCACAGTCACAACGCGCACGTTGGTGGTGTTCTTTGGCGTGGTGCCGTTGAAGAGAGATTCGTAGTAGGTGCTGTTGTTGTTATCATCGCATCCGCACTCCTGGCGCTCCTCACATAGACAGACTACGGGGATGGTGTCGTTGTGGTGACTGGTATTGTTGACATAATGGTATGGGTGTGTATAGGGATACGCGTAGGCGCCGTATAGCCAGACTCCTGGGAAGAAGGCCAATGCTGCTACGGGGAGGAGGAATGGGGTGATTCCGAGAGGTGAGGCTCGACCTGCTGAGTAGGGAGTGCGTGCGCCGCCGGAGTAGTATCTGAGGATAGTTAGTTTCTGGTGGCGTTTTTTGGAGTGAATGGATGGATGGATGGATAGATGGGATGAGTGGAATATCCAGATCCGGGACTATGTAAAGTCCACGGTCAGGATGAGGGAGAGTACCCTGCGTTCGAGGGACGAGAGGCAGAGCTAGAGCCACGAGAGCCGCCACGGGAGGAAGTGTGACCGGAAGAACCACCACTGGAAGAACCACCGGAATAGTGTGAATGGGAATCGGGGCGATAAGACGAGCCATAAGAATCGGATGAATCATACCTTCCACCGCCATACGACGGAGAGACGCCCGAGCCACCGCTGGAAGAGCCACCTCGATTGCTACTGGAACTGGTGCTACCAGTGCTTCCTCGACTAGAGCCACCGGTGCCGGAGCCACTGGAGCCGCTGGAACTGCTACCACTTCGACCACCACTGCTGCCACCACTGCTGCTGCCACTGCTGGAGCTGGAACCGGAGGAACCGGAGGAACTGGAGCTGGAACTCGAGCCACCGCGACTACCACCACCACCTCCGCCGCGTCGCTTTTCTAGATCGATGTATTCATGGTTGGGCGGGAAAATAGTTTCACGCAGGCTGATGTCGAGGCGAGGGATCGACAAAGAAGTGACGCCAGTGGAGCCCAGAAGGAGGAGGGAGGTTGCCCACGCTAACTTCATGGTGTAGACAGTAGATCAGTGTGAAGTGTGAAGTGTGAAGTTGAAGTGAGTGCGATGAAGTTGAGTGTATACGACAGTCAACGAGAACGGGGGTCAAGAGTGTAGATGCAGGGACTAGGTGCAGAAAGGAAAAAGCAAGTTCTTATAAAAAGCGACGAAAAGGTTCGGCACAGCCACGGGGGGGGGGGACCCTGAACTTGCCCTGAACGAGAACGAGCGGACCCTTTTCCAGCTTATACGAGGGGAGAGTTTCCAGAATACTACCTTTTCCAGAGTTTGGCTGTCAGAATGACTTCATTGGCCAACATAGAGGGGGAGTGGCGTATTCATGTATGAATGGGATGTTCTTATGTTATCCACTCCATTTATGTACGGAGTATCTTTCATAGGTGAGGTCACTGGCCCTTGACGCCCAGCAAGGCGCAGTTGGCTCAGCCTCATAGCTTATTTACTGGAACAGGTTACACCATGATTTATTTTATGAAATAATATTCTCTTTATGAGTTATACTCTGTACTCCACACTCCATATACTCTGTAATAGTTTACTACTAGAAACTAGTTAATGACTAGTTACTCGTTACGAGTACGTAGCAGAGTGCCCAGGTAACTAGTACCTAACTCCAAGATAAGGACGTGCACTGCCCAATCTTTTGTCTCTCAACTTGACTTCTTCATCCTCCTCATGCGTCCCCGAGGTTTGTCTACATCGTCCTCAGTCTCCTCCGTTCCTGACCAGGATCAGGTATGTACAGCCCCAAATGCCCCTATGGCCCCATGGCCCCCCCTACCCTGCCCCCCTACCATGAGGTACCCCTAATCCCCCCCCCGCTCCGCGCTGATCATCCAAGGAACTGGGGAGCATGTACGATTACCTCGCCAAAATCATTCTACTCGGTCCTAGTGGCGCCGGAAAGTACGTACAAATGGAAGCTTCCTTGACCTTAGATCCCGTGCTAACCTCCCACAGATCTTGTGTACTCCACCGATTCGTCAAGAATGAATGTAACCGCTCCCCGCCATTCCAACCTCACCCCGTCCGCCTCCCCCATCGCTAATCATAAACCCCCCCACCCCCCCCAGGCGCGCATCCTCTCCTCACAAACCATCGGCGTCGAATTCGCCTCCCGAATCGTCAAACTAGGCACCGGCTCCAGAAAAAGACGCATTAAGCTTCAACTCTGGGACACAGCCGGCACCGAACGATTCCGCTCCGTCTCCCGATCATACTACCGCGGCGCAGCCGGCGCAATTCTAATCTACGACGTATCATCCTATGCCTCCTTCGCCGCCCTCCCAACTTTCCTAATGGATGCCCGCGCCCTCGCATCGCCAAACCTAACCGTCCTACTCGCGGGAAACAAAGCCGACCTCGCCGACACAGACTTCCCGGACGAGATGCGCCCGCCGCCCACGCCGTCCAGCACAACGTCCAGCAAACAGTCCTCAATGCCCTTTGACATCAGCGGGGGTGGAGGGTCAGGCTCGATCCGCTCGACGATTAATGCCGGGACGAGGTTGACTGCGACGTTCGCGGAGGGGAGGGAGGTTAGTAGCGAAGATACGGCGCGGTGGGCGGCGCAGTCGAATATTCCCGTTGCGGTCGAGGTGTCGGCTTTAACGGGGGATGGTGTGGAGGAGATCTTTCAGCGGCTGGCGCGCATTATACTGACGAAGATTGAATTGGGGGAGATTGATCCTGATGATCCGCAGAGTGGGATTCAATATGGTGATGGGGGATTGTTTGGGCATGGGACGAGTGATGCGTCGAGTATTCGGAGTAGGGCTACTCTGGACGATAATGCTTTGCCTCTTCATCGGACGTCGCGGCGGAGGGGGAAACATGCGCAGGGACAAGGACAGGTACAGGGACAGGGGTGGAGGGGTGGGATGAGGGAGTGGGAGGATGTGTTTCGTCTGGGTGGTTCGTCGCGGAGAAATCAGGGCTGTTGTTAGGTAGTGCCCTGAAGCAATGCCCTGTGGTTGTTTTGGTTGAACGGTTACTGCATTACTTGCATTGCTGCTTCTTTTCTTCTTGTCTTTCGTTGGATATTCCTGCACGATACCCCCCCATTTTACACTTTCGTTTATTGTTCTGCAGATAGTTGTCATATTACCCGGTCTCTTAGTTACTTGACTTGACTTTATACAGGGACTCAATTTGAGTCCTGACTCGACTCTTTCATCATTATCATTTCATTCCATTTATTTCATTTCATTTATTTCATTTCAACTTTTATTCCCACAACTCCCAGATATCAAACCAAACCACTCACACCCCTTGGCACACCCCTACTCCTACTCTACTCCTCAATCCCCTCAATCAAAGTCTTAATCCCCTTCCCAGCCTTAACCTCCTTAAAGGCCTGCTCCGCCTCCTCAAACTTCACACTCCCCGTAATCAACTTCTTCACGTCAACTTTACCCCCCCGCAACAAGCTCAACAGCAAGCTTATAATCCCCACTCCCATACCGGAAACTCCCCTTGAGCGTAAGTTCCTTCGAACAAGCCGCCATAATCGGGAACTGGATCTCACTGCGCCCCATCCCACCTTGCACATACGTGCCGCCATTCCGGAGAACATGAATACCCGTGTGAACAGAGGGCTCGGCACCTGATGCGTCGATCGCAACGTCTGCGCCGGCGCCCAGGTTATTCTCCCTCTTCATGCGCTCTGCGTTTTCGATTGCCGAGACCTTCTCCGGCATAAATGTCGACGTCGTTGCGTAGCCTTTTGCGAAGTCTCAGACGATTTTGCTGGATATCAACAGCTATCACGCTCGATGCGCCGAAAGCAGTCGCCACAGCGCAGCACAGCAAACCGACGGGCCCAGCACCAAAGACCACGACGCTTTGGCCCGGTGTCACGGATGCTTGTCGGACAATGTGCACCGCAACACTGAGCGGCTCCATCAACGCGCCTTCTTGCAGGGACAGAGTGTCCGGCAACTTGTAGCAGAAATCTTCGGGGAGGGTGTAGTATTTTGCCAGGGTGCCGTCGTAGGGTGGTGTTGCTGCAAAGGCCATGTCTATGCAGAGGTTGTAGGAGCCGGATTTGCAGGGTGTGCAGCGGCGGCAGGGGATGCCGGGTTCCATTGCGACGCGGTCGCCTACTTTTAGGGTTGTGACGGCGGAGCCGATTTGGGTTATTATTCCTGCTGATTCGTGGCCGAGGACCATGGGTTCTTTGACGACGAAGGGGCCGATTGAGCCGTGTTCCCAGTAGTGGACCTGGTGTTGTTAGCTTAGTTTGGGGGGGGTTTATGGGATATTATGTCTGGGTTGAGGTGGACGTACGTCGCTGCCGCAGATACCGGTGTAGCGGACGTTGATGAGGACATCGTGGGGGTTTTCGAGGGTGGGGATGGGGCGGTCTTCGAATTTGACTTTGTGGATGCCTTCGAGGACGAAGGAGAGGTTCTGTGGTTAATTGTTAGTTCTGTTTTATATGGATGTGTGGTGTGAATTTCTGGGGAAGACAGCGGGGCAGTAACCCCGCGGTTTGCAGGCGGTCATACCTTTGCTGTGGCAGCTGAAGTCATTGTGAATATGAGGAGAAAGTGCAAGAGGAGGAGGGTAAAGAGAATAAAGATGAGGAAGAAGAAAAAAGCGAGGAGTCAGGTGGTATATAAACCGGCAAAATGTGTGAAATGAATTGAACCGAGAAGCTCCCCGCAGTGTCATAGGTAGTACTACTAACTACGTACGGGTGACCTTCCCCCGGTGGATCCAATTGGGATTTTAACCGCGGGGGGGTCTTTACCCGACTTTTGCCTCTGGTTGTTATCGGTAATGTCGGCCGAGTGTGGAGTGGTTTGGTACGGGATTGCCAAATATTCTGACCGAAGATGAGATGAGATTATAGCAGAAACTGTCGAATATAGTATTAGCAACATGGTATAATTATTAATTGATAGCTATGTAGTTTGTTACTTGTACCTAGGTAGGGAAATACTATGACACCGATTGGGCAGTACCAATTAGCCTATATCGGTAGACCTACCTAGGTAGCAAATACCTATCAATTGATCTAGATTTATGCCTAATTAATATGATATCCAATTAAATATAAAAATATAGATATAGATATAGATATATCTATTAGTTTCCAAGGTTACTAGTAGTATAATATGCCATAAGCACGCCTTCCACTGTAACATTGCATGTCCGTGCTCCGCTCCGCCAAGACCCGGAGCTTCTCCTCTTCCTCTCCTCTCCTCCTCACCACTTCTCCTCACCTCACCAGCTCTGTAGCAGCCACACCCCAATGATGGCTCGCACAAATACCCCGGCCCTCAGAGGCGCCCTTCGCAATCTTCGCGCCCGCCCTCTAACCCTCCCACAACAAAGACTATTCAGCGCCTCATCCCGCTACCTAGCCACAGACAAGGACAAGCAATCGCAACAGCCCTCCTTCAAAAGCCAGCTCTACGAAAGCACCCAGCAACGTCTCAAACGCGAGCGTGCCGAACAAGAGCGCTTCGCCCAATACCAGCAAACCCAATCTCCCGGCGGCCGCTATGCCGCCCTGATGTTCGGTACGTCCAGTTCCAGACCAATTTTTTTTTCTAAAAACCCGCGCTATCAAAAACTAACCCCATCCTACCATCTCCATAGCACTGGTCTTCTTCTCATCAGGCGCATACTACCTAGGCTCTCTAAAGCCAGCCTCCCTCCCCTCAACATCAACAACAACGCTCAACGACCTCGACGCCCCACGCCACAACATCACCCCATCAAATCTGCAAGCTGCCTGGGTCGACTTTGTCGAGATCCTCGGCAAAGAAAATGTCTCTACAAACGACGGCGACTTGACCTCCCACGCCGGCTCAGACTGGTCCTCCTACACCGCCAAAGAGACCGAAAAGCCCTTCCTAATCCTCTACCCATCCACCACAGACGAAGTATCCCGCTGCATGAAGATCTGCCACGCCCGACTTATCCCCGTGACGCCTTATTCCGGCGGGACCAGTCTGGAGGGACATTTTGCTTCTACGCGGGGTGGGGTATGTATTGATTTCCGACGCATGGATCGGATTCTTTCGCTTCATAAGCGTGATCTTGACGTTGTTGTTCAACCTGCGCTTGGCTGGGAGGATCTTAATGAGGAACTTGCTAAGGATGGGCTTTTCTTCCCCCCGGATCCCGGGCCCGGTGCTATGATTGGGGGGGATGGTCGGGACGGGGTGTAGTGGGACGAATGCGTATCGGTATGGGACGATGAGGGAGTGGGTTCTTAGTTTGACGGTTGTGCTGGCTGATGGGACTGTTATTAAGACTCGGCAGCGGCCGCGCAAGTCGAGTGCTGGCTATGATTTGACGAGGTTGTTTATTGGGTCTGAAGGCACGCTTGGTCTTGTCACTGAGGCTACGCTGAAATTGACCGTTAAGCCGCAGAGTACGAATGTGGCTGTTGCTTCGTTTGGGAGTATTGCTCATGCCGCTGAGTGCGTGACGAGTGTTGTTGAGGCGGGGATTCCTGTCGCTGGCGTCGAAATCCTCGACGATGTCCAGATGAAGTGTATCAATGCTAGTCAGAGTACTAGTCGGCAGTGGAAGGAGAGTCCGACGATCTTTTTCAAGTTTACGGGCACGCCTGCTGCGGTTAAGGAGCAGATTGGTATGGTGCAGAAACTTGCGTCCAAGGCTTCGGGCAAGTCCTTTGAATTTGCCAAGGGGGGGAGGAAATGGCCGAGCTTTGGAGTGCGAGGAAGCAGGCTTTGTGGAGTGTGATGGCTATGCGTCGCGGGGCGGGTGATCATGTTTGGACGACGGATGTTGCTGTGCCCATGAGCAAGTTGCCTGATATTATTGAGGCGACCAAGGCCGATATGACCGAGAGTGGTCTTCTGGCTGGTATTTGTGGTCATGTTGGTGATGGAAACTTTCACGGTAAGTTGTGGCAGCCTGTGCTTTTACAACAGTGCGTTATGATGCTTGTGATATATGTGATTCTAACGGCTTGCAGCCATTATCTTGTTTAATGATGGCGAGAAGAACGTTGCCGAGGGTGTTGTCCACCGCATGGTGAAACGTGCCGTGGAGATGGAGGGAACTGTGACTGGTGAACACGGCGTCGGTCTCGTCAAGCGGGATTACCTTGCTCACGAGCTGGGTGAGACTACAGTGGATGCCATGCGCCGCGTAAGTTTGGAACAATCCGTTTCTACATGTTTACGAATAACGACTAACACACGAACTTCAGTTGAAATTGGCCTATGATCCTCTCCGTCTGCTGAACTGTGACAAGGTTGTCCGAATTGAACAGCCCGCACCAGGCGAGGTCAAGGAATGGTAATCGACTCGACACCAAAGAAAAGGCACATAATTCCATGAAGTGAAAGCTCCCCGCTTAATCCGATCCAGAGCCAGAGCCACGGCGGTGGTGGTGGTGACGGTGGTGACGGTTGCGAGAGCCACTACGGCTGCGAGAGCGAGAGCGAGAGCCGGATCCTCGGGGTCGGCGCTCCACGATATCGACGCCTCCACGACCGCCGCCGTAGCCCTCTTGCTGGGACTGATAAGCGGGTCTTCCGTATTCATCGTTGCCGCGCTGTCCCTGTCCATAGCCGGACGATGAATCCCTGTATTAAACCATATTAGCATCTTTTGTCTATAATGACGGTCCAATAATCTGATACTTACTGCTCATATCCTCCACGGCTGTAGGAACTTTGCTGCACGGACTCGTAGGTCGTTTGAGGGGACGAGTACTCATGGCGTGTCTCGGTACGCTGATATTCGGTGCGAGTATCTCCGTAAGTCTGTCGGCTTTCCTCCTGGTAGTAGCTGCTGTTACCGGATGCAGACTGGTGGTATTCCTCGCGGTGGTAATTTTGAGGGGCTGGAGGGTAATCATTGCGACGCACGGGTTGCTCGTAGGAGTCGCGTCCAGAAGCGCCGTAGGAAGCACCCCCGGAAGCGCCGTAGGTATCACCACCACCATAGGAAGCACCACCGCCGCCGTAGGAAGCACCACCACCGCCGTAGGAAGCACCACCACCGCCGTAGGAAGCACCACTGCCGCCGTAGGAAGCATCACCACCGCTGTAGGAAGCACCACCACCACTGTAAGAAGCACCACCATAGGACGGGGCCTCACTCTGATACCCGCCAGTCTCCGGACGACGCGAAGAATAATCATCACGACTAGGCTGCTCACCATAGTGAGTTTGAGTTTCGCCTTGGTACTCAGAACGTCCATAGCGTGATGGTGCCTCGCCGTACTGCTGCTCATGACGCTCCTCGCGTCTAGGAGACTGATGACGCTGGGGCTTATTATGATGGCGACGCTGACGATCCTCATCACTGTCACCGGAGTCGTCCCTGCGAGGCTTAGGGCTGCTCTTTCGCTCGTCCGAGCCCGAACCGCCCTCGAGAATCATAGATCCCATTCCACCGACAAGGCCACCCACAAGGCCACCAAGGGCACCGCCTCCCAATGCCTCGGAGGCAATCTTCTCCAGACCGGAATCGTTCTTGGATTGGCGGCCCTGGCTCTGACCCTGGCTGTAGCCGCCGCCGCCAGATTGCTTCTTGCCGGTTGGCAAGGTAAGTGGCTTGCCGCAGCCGTGTCCGCAATCTTCCACGCCTTCCTTGTGGTTTCGGCCGTGGAGGACACCGTCTCGGCTCAATTGGTCGCGGAGAGAGTCTTGCTCTCTTTCGCTGTGCTCACCCCACCACTGCTCCACCGTGGAGAACATGATTTGACGCATTTCGTTGGCGCCGTCGTCTCCGTATTCGCGGAGAGCGGGGTGGTGGAAGACTCCGGTGATGATTCTCGTCAAGGTGCGATCGACGTCGGCATTCTCGTCATCCCAGCACTTCATGAGCTGGGGAACGGCCCACTTCACCACGCTAGACGCAATTCGGCCGGCGGGCTCGTTGAGGATATTGGAGAAGTGGTCCTTGGAGAGCATGGAGTGGGTGGGGTTGGAAGAGGAATCGTTGTTGAAGACGATGTGTTGCTGCTCCCGACTGCTCTGGATGACTTCGGAAGATCCGGTCTCCAGCTCGGCCTTGACTTGTTTGATGATGGGGAGGACATAGGGTGCAAGCACGGAGAAGACGAAGACAGTGATTTGATCCTGGACTTGTTCGATGAGGTCTGGGAGCACGGGGATCTTCTCAATCGCCTCATTGATGCTCTTCAGCAGCTGGTCGTGCCATTCGAGAACAGGGTAGATTTGCTTATGAACATTGTCAAGATAGCGGGTCCATTCCTCCGGCTCACGAGGGCTGACGTTTTGATTGTTCTGTCGCTGATCGTCGGCCTTGGCCTTAAAATCATCCATTTTGCCAGCTTGGTCATCGGTGTCGCCAATCAGTCCGCTCGGAATCTTGCTAAGCAGGTCCTGCAGCAGGCTGGGGCTATCACCCTGTGAGTCAGAGATGACACCTTCCAAGGATTGAATTTCCGACTGCTTGGTCTTATCCGACAGCTCACCGAGCACGGAGTGGAAGAAGTCCACACCGCCGAAAGTACCGGTCACAATGGGATAAACGGGGTTGCGAGCACCACGGATCTCAACCTTGGTGTTGCGACCAACGTGGGGAAGACATCTCGTTCACCGAGCTCAAGAAGACTCAGTTCGGTATAGTTCGAGTGCGCAGCGTAGTCCTCCAGGCAGTGCAGACCGGTCCCCAGCAAGCGAAGAGCCTCGTGGAAATCTTCATCATTGCCAGAGCGAGCATAACGACGACCCAGCTGGATCGATTTGCCCAGAACGCGGCGAATTAGCTCGGCCGAGGTGTCGATACCCATGTCCTCGGAGGCGATGTAGTTCTTCAAACCGGTGCGTTCGTCAATGGAGAGTTCACGGCGTTCGTCGATTGGTCCACGGAGGCGACGATCGTAGCGTCTGGCATCATCACCTTCGGCATATCCTTGGGGGTTATCGATGTGTTCGGTGGGTTGGTAACAGCCCAGTCGCTCGGTTGTGACTTCGAACTCGCGGGTGCCATAGCTATAAGCAATTAGCCAACATCCCAGAGGAGCTGGTAGATTTGCCCGATTGTTCCCAGCAGAGAACAAAACCAAAAAAAAAGGAAAAAAACGGGATTTGATGATGAAACTTACCCAAAGCTCATGAAACCCAAGACCCAGATAAGAATTCGAATGGCCTCGGCGCTGACATACTTGACAGTGCCCACATCAACAGCCTGACTGTAATCACGAAGCCAGTTACCAAAGTAAACACGCTTGACATCAAGCTTGCCAAACTTGCGGCCACCAGCAACACGGGCAAGGACGAGACTCAGAAGGGTATCTTCAATATCACCATGACGCCAATTCTGCCCCTCGATCTTTGACAGAGAAGCGATATTACCAGCACCAAAGGCATGGGCCTGGCCAGAGAAAGCAAGAAGAATGAGCAAGGACAAGCCCAGGCTCTGCAGAGACAAACCCATATCGTGTGGACGATGGGGGGTGGTCAAAATAGAAAGATAAGGTCACAGAGATGCAAAATGCAAGGAGGGGCAAGCTCTCAGGAGGTTAAAAAAATGAGGAGCACAACATCCCACTGGTTGGTGGTGGGGTTGGGCGTATTGATGCGCGCTCTTGGCTTCTTGGCTACGGCCGGGGGGGGGGGGCTGTGCTTGGCGGGTCTTTCCATCGGCATCATGCGAGTGGAAATTGCCATGTGCTTGACGCAAGGAGATGTTGATGTTGGTATTGCCGGGGTCAGGGTACGCCGTATATGTACTCCGTTTGTCTATCGTACATGATGTACGCGTGGTTTCATCTAGCCCTAGGATCAGGGGGGGCTGAGAAGGATGAGATTGTAACGTTGAATTTCGACCAGGATGTCAATTGGGAGAGTCAAAGAGTGAGTCAAAGAGATAGGATATTCTTCTGTATCCGATTGTATCTTGATCGGAATGTAGATGTATGGAGTAGATCACAAAGTAGATCCAAAAGTAAAGAGAGTCCCGATGCAACGATTCCCCCAAGTTCCTTCCCGCATGCGGCGGTGAGTCTCCAACGACCTTCAGGAGTAGCTCGGCCTATTCTTCCCCCAGAGATTTTTGATTCCTTTTTTTCTTTCTTTACAACCCTCCCCCTTTTACTCGGAACGTGTGACCTTCAGGCAGTAGTGCTTATTCGGACATGCGCCAGCGTCACCCAGACCACCTTCAGCTTCGTGATCTTTTTGCCCCCCCCGCGCTTACGCCTTTGCCCCCGCTCCGTCTCGTCCGATACTTCAGCCCCCAGCGCCAGCACCACCATTTGCGCCCACTAAATCGCTCTTTGTCTACCACCCCCCTCCGGTCGGAACACCCTTTTCAGTCCATTCTGCCCTTTCCTCAAACATCATGCGCAGTGCGACTCATTCCTGAGGCTCTTTTTGTCTTGTGAGATTGTGGAGGAGATCGCCATGGCTCGTGTCGGCATTCCCTCTGCCCGCGAGCCGGCCTTTCCGGCAAGAAAGGGAAGCCGGCTGTCAACCGACTCAGTATCGCGACCGCGTTTGAAAATGAAGATGCGAACTGCTTCGACTGCTTCCGGCATGGAGGATCAATGGACTGGTGACGCTGGGCAGGCCCCGTCATCCTTAGACGTAGATGCCTCACGCGAGCCCTCGTCTTTTCCCGAACACTCCGATTATTCGAATTCGAATTCGCCTGAATCAAAGAGGCTAGGAGGATCCATGCGTTCCACCAATCCCCCAGGAAGGACCCCAATCGACACCGAGACTGCCTGGCAACCTGATTCAACCCATCTCATGTCATCTTTGGGGTTCAACGAGTCCTCCGAGGGACTCAGGAGCAAGCCGATAAAGCCAAAAGTCCATATCAAGCCAATACTTCGGAAGATGTCGCGCGACGATGCGCCGTCCACCTCAATTGACCTGTCCCGGTCCTCGACCGAACAAGAGGGACTGGGCATTTACATGAACTTCGAAAGAGATCGCCGTCGTAGTGAATCTCTAACTGGCGTAACATATCGCAGAACTCCTTCCGGCCTCCACCATAGGTCCACGAGCGGGACATCTCAAATTTCATCGGCCACTGGGTCGAGTGGAGGTAAGCCAGCCGCGTCGCAATACGTTTATCCAATGCGCCCTACTCCTCGGGTATACACCCCGCCATTGTGTGAATCGTATCAAACATCGCCTAGCGACAGCGAAGGCGAGGACGATGGCCTCGAGGCGGAATCTCGGACTGAGTCTCGGGCACCTTCGGTGATGGAGACCCACCGTACACATCGTGCTTCCTCGGGCCCAATGCCTCGGCTCTCGTTGCAGATCGAAGACGACTCCCTCACTCGTCTTTCTGGGATCTCGCAGACAAACATCTCGAGCCGACCATCATTTGGTTATTCCCGCGACAATGGAAGCACGTTGGATACGACGTCTCCCACCTCTCGACCTTCTCTCGACTTTGTTTTCCGATCTCGGACCAGGACCAGCACCGATCCGGTCTCTCGGCAGGCCACGGTCCAGGCTGCCCGACAAGCCTTCGAGGCGAAAGAGGCTGCCAAAAGCCGTCGGATTGAAAAGCAGCAGATCAAGGCCGAAGAAAAGCAAACTCGACGTCGTGTGAAGCGTACCCAATCTGAGGGACCGGGGCCCGAGTTACCGGCGTTTCAGTCGAGAGAAGAGGTCTGCGAGAAGACCGGAAGCATGAACTCGAATGAGCGGGAGCCTCAGACTAAGACTTTCAAATCTGAGGGGCAGCCATCCGATTCGTGGAAATCGCAATCCAAGAGCACTTGGGTGCTTTTCATGACTTGGCTTCGGACTCGAGTGTTCAAGTTCCGGCGAAAGCTGAAGAAGGTGAACTGATCTCAGCAATTTTTTTTTATCTCCCAAGTTATTGTTTGTCCATAGTTTCCAGTACCATGAAGCGATCTTCCGTTCTTTTTTCTTGCTTTTGGGGTTCTAGTCTTCTATTCATTTGGGCATACATGCAGCTGCACGTTGGAGGGTTTGATATTATTGGGAGTTTGGCCACGGCGCATTGATTTTTGGGCTGCGCTCTCGTCACATGGTAACGAATACGAATTGGCGTTTTCTATTACCATTTTCCTCCTTTCCTCCTTTCCCAGCCAGTAATCCGAGACATCATCTCGAAATATCTCGAAAGTAATCACGGGGATCGAGTATGTGCCTCATTTCCGAGGCACACAACTACTTAGTCATGCTACGGCAGAATGTAAGCGGTGAGAGTTGCACCTCTGGCACCTCTGGCATCCCATCTCATCCACTACGGCGCACAGCAGCGACAACAACCGCCTGATAAGAGCTCCATCATTTCGTGGATCTACACTTTTTCCCCAGGCACGCCTCCACAAGGGGGAGCGTCTCCTCAATCATGGTCTATGATTGGGCCGGTAAGCGGGACATCTGCTACCGCATGTACATCCAGGACAAAAAGGCTCTGGAAGAGATCATGGAGTACATGCGAACCGCTTATCAGTTCGCTCCAAGGTGAGTAAGGTACCATCCTATACTATACTAGTATCACTTCACTTCACGCCTACTTCTACTCTCTCTCTCTCTCGACGGAGCTAACCTTCCCATTCACCCCTAGCAAACGCGCCTTCCAAACCCAATTCAAACGGTGGGGATTCCCCTCGAAGCAAAACCCAGCGCATAAAAATGTCCAGCTCGTCGCTCGCGTCAAGGTGCTATGGGAACATAACACCAATCAACGCGATATGCTCCGGATCCTCAACGAGGAAGGATTCGAAATTAAAGAGCGGGAGCTGATGCGCGTGCGCGCGAAGAATCGCTGGTTACTTCGTGTTCCTAATGGGATGAAGTCGCAATTGCAGTCGCAGTCGCAGTCGCAATCGAACACGATGGCCCAAGATGCGAATGGAAATGCGAATGCGAATGCGCAGGCGCAGCAACAGGCTGACGAGGATGAAGGTCTTCTCGCTCTGCAACAGGAGGTGTACAAACAAGATGCCGATTTCGAAGGTGCCAGTGCTGCTCCTGGTATGTCTGGGAATATGCCGTCCCAATCAGGAACGCCGATGATGGAAGACCCCTCGCCGCGAATTTCAGCAGAAGTCGCGGCTAAACGTAAAGAACGCCTCGACCAGCTGAAGTCGGAAAGTGCAGAGCGATGGGCGTCGAGGAAACGACGGCGTCGAACGAGAGGGTGGGCGGGCATGCCGGCTGATCCACCGGGTCCGCCTAGATTTCCGTCCGAGACCACGATTGACGAAAGCAAGCAGTACCTCAACCTGGATAACACCATGTACCGCCAAACGCGGGATCATTTCCAGCGCATTTGTGAAGAGGCGGGGTTTGTTAAAAAGACGGCTGCTGGCCCGGAAAGATGGCAAGCAGCTAAGGACAGGTTGATTCAGGAATCACCGCATCTGCAGCAGGTTTTCAATGCCGAGCCTAATCAGCGTGATGCGAAGGCTTTGGCTTTGGATGTTGTTTGCACCGACGTGACGAAGCGCATGAGGACGCTTGAGCGGCGGATGACGATTGCCGAGGCTAAGAATGCTTTGGGCATTAATCCGGAGGAAAGTCGGCAGATACGAAATGCCTTTTATGATGCACTGCGCGCGGATCATTTCACCAGCAAGCTTGAAGCTGGCGATGATCACTGGCAGGATTTGAAAACGCAGTGGATTCGGAGTTCGGCGCTCCTTCAACGGATCCTTGAGCCTGGGCAAGCTGATCCGGGCCATATTTTGAAACTCAAGGCCATGGAGGTTCTTTGTCGAGATGTGATGAAACGACTGCGTGATGATCAGACTAAGCGCGATCCAGCGCGGAAAAGATCTACACCGCGCAGCACCCAGAATCAGAATCAGAATCAGAATTCGCCATCATCAAATGCTGTTACTTCCCACTTGGGCAGCATGATTGAGAACGGCATCAGTAATGGGATAAGTACACTCGCTTCACAAGCCCTCGCCAGCGCACCGATAACAGGCCATGACATTGGCGATATGCAAATTGACCCTTCTCTACTGCAAGCCGCAAACGACACATCATTCACGAATACACAGCATACACATGATGCTGTTGGGGGAGGATTCGAATACATGGATCCGATCATCAACGCAAATCTCCTGAACACGCACATTTCGTTTGAAATAAGCCCGCAGAGTCATTTACAGGGCCCTCCGCCGAAAAATTGGATAGAGAAATTGAGCACCAGGTCGATGGAGGAGCTGAGGCAGCTTATCTCGGCTAAATACCCCTACGCCATTGTCAGTAAGATCGAGGGTATAGATCAAGATGAACATGGGACTGAACATTACTTTCCTATTGAGGAGGATCCTGAGTTGGATTCTTATCTTGCCCATGTTGCTAGTCATGGTAGGAAGGCTTCGTTTAATCTGACGCTGGGACAGATCTGATCGTGGCCACGGCTATGACTGTGTGACTAGTTGCTCTATTAATCTCGATACATTAATTTGATACCCCATTCAACGAGATACTTTTCGGACCCTTGCAAGCCCCCCTAGCTGTAGAAATCTTACGTGGCTTCAGAAAAGAAATACATATTACAAACTTGAAGCTTGCGCATCAACAATCCATTCATCAATACAAGTTTGATTTGAGAAACATACACATGGCTATTAACCTATACATCTAAACTTATCCCACCATTTTTAAAAAGTCTAGTCCTAACTAGATCCCAAAGTCTGAACAACATTTCTGAAAAGAACACCAATAGAAGGCAAAGAGAATGACGGCGTATCGCCAAACACACCAGCCAACCCCTTCCCTGAAGACCCAGCGCTCTCGCCATCAGTGACTTGCGCAGAAACCTTATCCTGCCCACGGCTGAAAATATTCGCCAGTCCAGAGTTCAGGTGGCTGGTCACCTCTTCAGGCTGCAAACTCTTCTGCGACGCCTTGTCCAGACATCCCAGGCGCTGCACGCTACCGCCAGCATCAACCACGATATAATCTCCCGAGTAAACGTCCGAAAGCAGAGCCACCGGGTGATTTCCCAGACTCTCTTGGAAAACAAGCTCGAAGGATGAAATGTCGTAGATGCGAATGTGGAATCGGCCTCGGCGGCGTCTCTTGTTGGCACTTCCGTCCAGTTCCCGGGCAGCGATGGAAAAGGACTGGGTCCTGGCATTCACGGCAAGCATGGGGGAGTTGCTGACATCAACGGTGCTGCCGGGCTTGGCTAGTTGGATTGGCTTCACGACGTCGTCGACGGTGTCCCAGACAGCGACTGAGCCGGTCGAGGCCACGATCAAGTATTTGCCTAGGAACTTGACGGAGCAAGGGTTTCCGAAGAAAACGCCTGTTCGGCGGTAGTGCACTGTGCCGGTTCGCGCGTCGATCAAGAGGACGAGACCGTCGTTGGCACCGGCGTCGGATGGAAGGCAGACAGCGAGTACGGAGCCATCATCGGAAAAGCTCATGCAGGCTACGGATAGAGGTGCAGATGCGTTGTTCAGACATCCCTTCAGATCGACGACACTTCGGCACTTCCATGTATCCTGGTGCAGGTCCTCGGCATTTGTCTTCAGTCCGCTCCGGGTCCGAGCGGTTGGGCACCAGAAGCGCAGGATCGCGTCTTCGCCGAGGGTTGTGAATTCGTGGCAGGATGGCCGGGCCGTGAGACCGAGGACCGAAGCGTGGCGGTTCTCGCTGAAATGGGGTGCGTCGATGCGAGTCACTAGTTCCCAGTTATCGGTGGATGCATTCCACTTCCAGAACTTCAGGAATGTTTCCGGTCGTCGCAGGGGGCTATCGACAGTTCCAAGGTCTTGGTGATGAGGTGTCCATGTATCAACGGTTGCTAACCACTTTCCATCTTCGACAATATCCAAGTGCTGGACGTCGGGGGTCACGATTGGAGAGCCTTCTGGACTCATGTTCAGCGTTGTTGTGTTGGTTCGGGCCAGGGCCTGGCGAGAGATATGGGAGTTTGCGCGAATGTCGAAGGTCTGGAGGACAGCTGAGCTTGGTCGTTGAGAAGCATGCTGATTAGACATGTGAGATGCGGGCACAGCGACAAGGAGTCGCTCGGGATGCTGGGGGTGTAATTTGGCAATGGCGCGGTGTGACTTTTTCGAGGAAGAGTCTTTGTAGGCTCCGGCATCCGAAGATAATTGAAGACCGGTGACATTGGCGAAAGGCTGCAACTCTCTCGCAGACAAAACCATAACTGAGTTATCGGCCAACTTCACGACATAAGAATTGCCGTTCGGTGAAACGACAACATTGCAAATTGGAGAGGATAAATGAGGCAGGAATTGCTTCCTGCCAGTATCGAGCTGCCACAAAACCAAGACTGATTCCTGACCACCCGAGATAACGTAGTTTCCTATAGATCGAGCATTGTCAGACAAATTCAACCGCAGCATGCAGGGATATCAGGCAAAAACATACCATCCTTAGACCACCGCACAGTGCTAACGGCACCTCGGTGCCAGTGAAGTTTCCTGGGTGGAGACTTCTTCTCTGCACTTCGACCGAAAAGAGTGTTTGCAATATCTTGGTAAATGAGAATCGAGCCGTTTCCTTCACCAATTGCCAAATCAACGACGTCGGGGGCGTGAGTAGACTTGACTCCGTCGTGATTTTCTCGCAGATGAAGACAGGTCGCAGATACTGGCAGAGTAGCCTCTCTCCATGTGTACTGTGTAGACTCTGGGGTTTCCAGGTCAACGTTGGGAGTGGTTCCCAGGAAGAGATGGACCCCATCACTGACAATAATAACACGTCCTTCATAGGCGACCTGGATTGTGTTGATTTGTTCGCTGGTCTCAAGGGCAACGATATCGGGAAGCTTCTTGTCGCCGAGGGCACTGATAAGAACCTGTCGCTTCCCATCCTTTGGCTGCCCAATGAGGTATGATGCGACGCGATAGGTTCCCTCACCTGCAGACACATCGGCGGCGATTGTCGAGTTGGTTGTTCCCCAGCGGGCGAGTCGCTTTCCAGTATCCCAGTTCCATGTTGTGACAAACGCAGGTGTGAAGATGTACAGGACGTTTGGATCGACGGGGCTCAAGTTGTATCCGGTAACTTTCTGACCAGTCTCCATCTGCAGAGTACGGAGCAGGCGGGAGGTGGAGGTTGCGAAAACCTGCACGGCTGTTTCGAGGCCCACGAAAAGGTATCTACCTCACCCTGTCAGTAAATCAATGCCTCAAAAGATTAGGACAATACAACGTAAAAACCTACGCTTCATCTTCGGTCACGATGGGGTCCAGATTGCTATATCGGCCACCCACCGGGCGAGAGAATGACCAAGGCGCAGAGGCACTGCTCTTCTCTTCACCAATTAAAGAGGCATCACTCTTGCGCACCTTCTTGATCGCACCGGAAGATGGTTTTGTCGCAGAAGCTTGGGCTTCATGGGTTTCTGAAGTCCGACGTCGTTTGGTTCCTGCGTCGGATGGTCGTGATACCTTCTCAGCGGCATCACTAGCGCGAGAGCGCTTTTGCTGTCGACTCGAATCCTTTGCCATAGTTGAAACCCTTAAATTCGGGGTGGGTATCACAGTGATTGACAATTGAATATGTCCCGGCGACTTTTTTTTTCCCGCAAAGGAAAGGAAAAAGCTCGACCGCCTTCCTTCACCGCCTTTCGCAACTTTCATTTTTCACTTCGAGGTAATTCTTGTCTACTCGTCGCCCCGCGTAATTAGCATCGCGTTCACTCTTTCTCCGGTCTTTTCGTTCCTAAACTTTGCGCATCGTCACGATGATTATCCCCGTGCGCTGCTTCTCTTGTGGAAAGGTATAATCTCCGCCCTGATCTACTCTCGAGCTTTTGCTGATACCTGGTTCAGGTTGTCGGAGACCTTTGGGAGCGTTACCTGCAGCTCCTGGATGAGGGTATTCCTGACGGGTGAGTGTCACTGTCACTGTTTCATGAAATAGTGGTATTTGGTTTATTTTGTCCTCAGCTACTGACAATGTTCTAGCGATGCCATGGATCAGCTTGGCTGCCGACGATACTGCTGCCGCAGAATGATCATGACCCACGTGGATCTGATTGAGAAGCTTCTCCGGTAGGTTCTAGCGCTCAGCAACCCGGCAACTCTTATAGCTTTGGTTAATTGTGTTAACCCATATCCTTAGTTACAACTCCGCCGAGAAGGACCGATCCAAGGCTCATGTCTAAGCACATACTTTCACCCGACCCGCTTGGTTTCTTACCCCCCCTCGGGGCAATCATACTGAATACCAACAATCCATTTCGAAGTCGACCAGAGTGATCCGAAAGCATTGCATTTGATGTGGATCGCCACATTTTACAAGCTACTCTCGAAAAGAGCAAACCACCGTCCACCCATCTTCTGAGATCACAATACAATACCAGCCCCCGCCGTCATTGCTTCCCCCTGCAACTCTATATCTGTCACCACAAGTGTTCCCGAACTCTACCCCGATGGCTATGCTCTGTGTATTCATACCGTGAGGACTGTTATAGGCGGATACAACATGGGTTATGTCGAGTGAACGGAAGCGGGTATGACCGAGGTTGCTCGCCGATATGCATATGGGAAGGCGTTGGACACCACATGGGATTTGTCATTTGGCGTACTGGGAAAATATCTTTTTTGTAGATAATTTATTGCAATCAAAACTCGAATTGATATTCTGTGTGTTCAAGATCAACATTCGGAGTATGCGTATGTAGCTATATATATGTAGCTCCGCTCAACAAACCACCCGGGGGCAGGTGACCTGACCAGCTGGGGGTATTCCCTCATTCTCCAATCTTTCAGCCCCATGAAATCCTACCTCATTACTCTGTACTCCGTACAGGATTCCTCCCAACACCCACCATGCATCTCTGCATTTCTTCCCTTTCTAGCCCCACTGTTCCTGGGGAATCAATGGGAACCGCAAGCGCCCAGCAACCCCATGCGGACTAGGCGGCCGGTGCTCCGCGGCGTCTGAGTGGATACACATGCATGCTCATCACGCCCCAGGCGCCTTTGTCTCCCAGTTCTGGGGGTCGCCTGCTTTGGTCTTGGTCAATCGTCGTATCAGCGAGCTCCGTTGGAACCAACAGTGCTGAAAGCCCCGGGGCCATTACCGATGGTTTGTCTCGAGACGGCCTGAGCTCCCTCCTGCGTCTGTTGTGCCTGTGCTTGTGCAAGCGGGGATCGACTTTCCTGCTCTTCATCTTCGTCTTTTCAACTCCCCCAGAGCGCAGTGCGATTGCGAGACTTCGTTCCTGTCTGGCTATTAGGCCGTGATGGCCGTCAGCTCGCCGCTTTCTATTCTTCCATTTCGCGAAACCCCAAGCCCTTATGCTGGGTCGGACCTGATGTCAGCACCCCTTCAGGATCGCATCGCACCCCATTCGCTGACACATGGACAGGTCGCTCGAAGCACCATCCGCCCCGGAAAGTGTAGGGTGTTCGAGGTATTCTGCCCCTGATCTTGATGCTGGAGCGATCAGCGCGGTGGATATGGATACATTGTCGGAGACCCCCGCTTTGGCCCCGGCTATCGGGGATCCTAATCAACTTCACGGGGTCGATAAAAACAGCGGGGACGTGATAGCAGCAACAGCGAACACTCCTATCGCTCACGGCCCGGGACTGAAGGTATGTACGAAGAGGGGAAGGACAAAACAGCAATAAATCATGATATCTTTTGGCGGGCGCTGATGGGCAGCAGATCCAAACCACACAAAAGTATCAGCCCAACCATTCCAGATCAGACGAGGACGAACCACCGCAGTCGGTGATACATGCGCCACCTGGATTCAGAGACTTTGTGAGGGTTTCCCTCACCATCTCCCCAGAAGAGGTTTTTAACCAAAGGTCTCATATAGACGGGCACAGGGCATACATCGGACGAGGAGGGTTGCGACGATGAAGCATCGTCGTCATCTTCGATCTCAGATCACGTCGAGCCTTTGCATATTCCAAAGAGCACCAGCGGAGTAAGTGCCTGGCTTCCCAAAATTTTGATTCAAATGGAGACATTTGAAATTGTCTAATATTTCGTTTCTTTTTCAAGATCGGTAATAGTCCCGTGTCGCCACCTCCGTTGACCACCACCGTCGCGCCTGTATGGTCAGATAGAGCGACTCCTCGTGCCCAGACACGAAACGACGAATTCGACGAAATCGGACGACGCTCCCATTCAAGCAGTCTAGAAGGTTTGGGGCCCCAACCACCTAACACCTCGTATAGCTAACTAATTATTCAGTAGACATACCCGAAGGTAAATTTTTTGGATCACCGCATATTTACTCCCTTTGGAGTAAAATACCCGCGCGAGGGTAGAGCCAAATCTAGCATCTCTCATACTTACATTTTTCTAGGGACTTTTGGTAATAAAGAATCTGAAATCAACGTTCTACGAGCGGCTCTCACCGAATGCTGGACATTATGCAACACGCTCGCGAACTTGAGTTATATTAATCGAAAGCGGTTGTTTGAATCCTACCAAGATAATATGCAGGAAGATGCCTGGAGATCTTGCTGGAAATTGTGTCAAAAGCTTTATGATACCCATGACGACGAATATGCATCTCAAGTTAATCCAACCCTTGATCTCTGCCGAGACTTCTGCCAAGCGCTGTTTGAGGTTCGAGTTTCCGAGAATGACCTGGCCGATTCGGTCTTGCGAGTCAGCTTTGAGCTGAATAATCATCTTTATAATACGCATGACCGCAACCTTCCTGACGCCTTTCGGGAACGAACGCTTGACTTCTATATCACGCTGTGCCACCGACTAATGAAGCAGCGAACTCGCTTGACCGAGACAGACTCTCTCCTGAGCGCTTGTTGGACATTGGCTGAAATGCTGTTCAGTATCCGCCAGAGTAAACGAGAAGGGAAAACTTTGGACGAGGATTTGCTCGGCTCCGCGGTTCAAGCATGCTGGGAGCTCTGTGATATTTTCCGCGAGGGATGGACCATGCACAGCATGCGCAATTCAGACCGTGGCACGCCACGCCCTAGCCAAACCACATTTGCGCAAGTATTTCAACAAGTAGCGCAGCAGTCGGAGATCGATCTTCTGGATGATGTATCTGTTCAAATGGGAAATCCAGAAACGCCCACGACTATCTTTGAGGACACAGCCACCATTTCGCCCGATGAAGCCCCGATTCCAAACATTCTTGTTCTCGGTCACGGAAATGGCCATGCTTCTCATTCGGGTTGGCCATCCAGTGCATCGAGCATCTCGGAGAAGTCTCGATCATCTGGTCAAACAGCTTCCTCGGCGAACACGGTGACCACGATCTCGGAGGATCCTAATTTTACCAGACTCAAGGTTCTCATCACCAAGGCGGCTATAAATAGCGGTTATCAACAAGACGGCACTCAGAACATGTCGTCCTTTGTCAAATCTTTGTCTTCAGACTCATTCGGATCGGCGCCCTGGCAGACTTCACTGTTGAAGAATTACCGAAAGCTGGTGGCTTATGATCCTGCTTTCAGAAATTGTGGCTTACAGGCCCGTGTCAGTGCCGTTGAAGTGGGCCGGGCTTGTCAGGCGATGCTTCAGAATGGGCAGTACTCTTGGCTACGGGATCTATATCGACTGGTCTTTGGGTTCCACATAGAGGAGGCAATGACCAGGAAAGGGGTGACCATTCAGACATAGTTATTTTACCCTTGTCATAAGTTTAATTCTTAGCCTTGGTCCTTCCTTGTTGGTGTATAGATGTATATGCTATATTCAGAAGGTCCCTAAAGAGGTCATTTCCTTTCTTATAGTGAATATTACTCTATGTTTATTGGTTGTAGCCCTCAGTCTTACTGAAATTACAGAGGTCTTTTTATTCCCATCTTGAAAGTTTACTAGTATCTAGATCCCCATGGGTCACAATTGTGTCAATACAGGTATAGAATATCGTTCCAAAATTACTCGTATTTCCTACAAAGATCTTGACAACAACTGCTACATGCCTTTAGTTACTACCTCCTCCTCCTCCTCTCTTGCTAATATCTGATTTGAATGCTTGCTCTTGCTCTTGCAATTTTCAGTCACTGTTGCTGGTAAAAAAGAATATCGTAATTCAAAAATGGAGCAGGCGGTCTGTGCGTGTAGGCCACCGTAGGCACCACACGTACTATGGGGCATTTATAGCCGACAGTCTAATCTTACAAGGCAACCCATGGGCCGCAGCCTGTCAGAGCCGCCCCCTCCCCACACTTGCGCTAAGCGACACGTGCTTTCGAGACTTTCAGGTACCAGCTAAAGGTGTCTCCTTTACTCACCGTGGTATATAAAGCTACGAATTTTCAGCGATAACTTGGCGCAGAGCCCTGTGAAGTTTCTGGCTGTGCTTTGAATCAATTGAAATTCAAATTAACTCCAATGGGTGCGTTCATGCTGTATCTGCGCCGGAAAACGAATGGCATTGATGACAAACTTTTATAGGTTACTCTGAGGTATGGCTATATCGTATCTTTGGCGAGAAGTACAGAACACCTCTCTAATAGCTTATTAGATCTACTGCCATATTTGTGGTGTCAGTTTCAATATCGCCCGACGCCCGAAACTGGGAGAGCCGGATCTGGCTAGCTGGGACTATACTGGTGGATTGTGCGATCAGCCGGGAGTCGACGGAGTAGATTTGGAACAGTGCGTTCGGAATGGCTGCTTTGTGGCCATTAATTACCCAAAGGATGATAGCGACAACATCCTTGAAGATCCAGACTATGTCCCTCCAGATGGAGGTGATCACAGCGACCTCGGTGAATACGACTCAGAGTATGAATCAGCCGATACTATGAGTTTATCTGCGGAGGAGGATGAGGAGGATATAAATAGTGACTCGAGTGATGACGAAAAGAAGAATACTAAAATCGATTCTTACTCGAACTGGTTGGTGAAAACTTGGAATCCGCATGCCAGATTCCTCAGAGAACGCATTGATAACTTCGGACATTCAATTAATCGTTCTCATGATGAATATGGGTTGCCTATCCAGCCACACACTTTGTCAGAGAGAGAAAACCCAGAGCTGGAGCAATTCCCCAGTCGGACTGGCAGAGTGGCGAATGCGTATTCAGGTTATGCGATATCGCCCGAAGAGATGATAGGGTGTCGCACGGCCCAGTGCTTGGTCCACAAAAGCGCAATGCAAGGACAAACGCAACATATCAAATATTTTGAGCCTTGGGAGGCTTCTGAAGATTGGTTCTTGTCTGGATTGTCTGACGGTATGCCGTCGCGCGATTGCAGTTACCCAGAAGTCTGGCCTGCGCAAGGTGGAGTCAAGGAGCCACGAGCTGAGAATACCAATTTTGATGTGGGTTATATTTCTTAAAGCCAGGTTTAGGGATTTTGAAACGCCATTGAATTCTCAAAGAAGCTGACAGCCAGTAGCCAGAATCGACACCTTCAGACGAATGGGCCATGCCGTTCCATCCTTGGTGTTTCGATATCTTCTGCCGCCAATCCAAAGCTCGGTTCAATCGCATCAACATCTCAGGGCTTATGAAGTGGCGTAATTCCGAATTCTCCTACCATGACTTTCGCAAATTTCCTCGATCAAAAGATGTTCGCAAGAGTCGAGAACAGTTCTGGCAGCATTTACCAGGCAAGGAATATCTGGCCGCCAACCCACTTTACGTGCCAGGTTTGCCGAGCCTCTTGCTTAATGCAGCCAACGAAGAAGAAAACCTATCTCACGGCGGGATAGAGGGATCCCAAGTTTCTAAGAGGACTCACGCTCTATTGCAGGTTGGTCATAATGATGTGTTTGCTTCTATGCCTCCCGAAATATGTTTACTACTAGTTAGCTTCCTGCATGCTGGTGACCTCAATAACTTGAGGATAGCTTCCAAGGTGTTTACCAGACTTCCAAATACTGTTTGGTGGCAACTTGTCCAAGAGGAGATGCCCTGGCTATGGGAATCTTGCCATGACAGCAATGAAGTCCACTTTCCTTCATTCTGGACAGCAGTGACCGCAAATTCTCTGAAGTTGTTCAAGGAAGAACGGAAGCGCTATTCAGCGCAGCTGCGAGATGTTTATACTCCGACTAGTGAGGCAGTTGACTTCCTACTTCCATTTCCAAAAGAGGTACCCGATCAGCTACAGCTCCCAAGAAGAAATACCAATTGGCACAGGGTTTATACGCAGATCAAGAAAAATTGGAGCAGCCTCAGGGGATTACGAAATCGACAGCGGATCTGGAAAGATGTGGAAGAAATTATCAAGCGGATTGAAAAGTATGAGACATAGTCACGCGATTGTGTATTATCAGTGAATCAGTTGAGTAAAGTATCTCGAAAAAGGTTCAGCAGCCTTGCTTATATAGCCTTACTCCTTGCTCGAGTAGACAGTAAATAAGATAATCGTTATTTTACAGCAAACTCCTTCGGCTCGATCATTTTTAAGAGCCCCCTATTATAAGGACTCAGCCAACAAAATACTGTGTAGTATTTAACGAAAAGTAACAGAACTAGAGAAGAAAAGAAGAGAGAGAGCTATCATCATAACTATCATATATTGTTGAGAACGGGTGCCTAGGCACCCGTGCCTGCCTTGGATAGATAGCCTCAGCCTTAGCTCTCTCATCCTATAACTATCTCTTTCCCTAGTTCTAGCTTCTTCCTAGTAGTGTACCTCTAATAGGTTATACGCCCAGATTATGCTTAGTTTTTCTTTTCGAGAGTCTAGATATTCTGAATCCCCCTCAAAATCAATACTTTCTGTATAAAAAAGATATATCTAGTAAAGATCAAAAATATTAATAGTATATTAATGTAACGGGACAGGTCCCGATCTTTGGCCTAGGCTTGGCCTGTGCGATGTGATCTATCAGTTCCCTAGGATACTTAGTCGCCGCAGGTCGCCCCTTTTTCTTACACTTCTCCAATCTTTAGATAAACAGCATGCAGGCACCGCTAAATTGAGTCAATTTGGCTGTAGCCTTTCACATCTCTAATTAAAAAGAATACTAAGTTAGGGAAGTTATTACAGATAGTGAAAGTAATTAAGTTATAGTGAATACTTTAGCCGATATATTTAATGTTAAGAAAGTATTATCTCTAGGGAATTTAGTATAGCTAGCTAGCTCTATAATAGAAGAAGCACTTTGGGACTTAACCAAAAAGAGGTATAATAGCTGGTTTGGAGCCCTACCCCAAGGTTCCAATGATATTTATGATTAGACTACTACACAGCTTTCAGTCAGGAATACTTAAAAGCTTAGGTAGTCTTATATGACCTTGAAAGACTCTGAAGGGGAACATACTGAGCCTAAAGCAAGACATAGCCCTTCTGCCAACGAAGTGAGAAAATGATTTTTGCGAGATGATAACGAACCAAATACGCAAAAACAATATAGCAGGCCAAAATCCTCGGCCTTTTTATTTCCCATTCATTCGCGATTTATCGCGTTTTCTTTGCTCTCTATATTGACTGTGATTAATGTAATACTCCGCACTGGACGCTGCTTCCCGTTTAGGCCTAGCGCGGCTTCTGAGCTTATCTCACGGCTCGAGACGGAGACGGAGACCTCATCACTTTGTCTTTTCTTCTCTCCGTCAAGCTTAGTATCGCGTATCTAATGTACTTGTTTTCCTGTCAATCTGGCTCGTATTACACTAAACACCGGACCCGGTCGATTCACTTTTTCATTACTCCCTACTAATACGTTTCGACAGCAGCGACGCGGAACTGGATGTTCGGTAACTCAGGGTAATGGAACACTCTGTTACTCTGCTTTCTTCAGCCACGGGCGAGGGAGAAGCAAACAAGGTCGGCGATCACCCCAGCCACGTCGGTGCTGAGGCTGAGGCTAGGACGACGGCCAAGAATCAGCGCAGGAAGGTCCAAAATCGGAAGAACCAAAGAGCACACCGTGAGTGTGTCCCCTCAATGCCTCACCTCCTGCCGAGCTCACAAACTTTGAAGGATTGCGGAATAGAGAGCAAGATCCAGGTTCTGTTCAGACGTCGCGCTCATTCCAAGTCAGGCGCTGGCGCCTGGACGAACACGATGTTGGTCCCTCCCAAGACGCCTCGACAGCATCAAAATGTGCAACCGCCACGTCCACTTCCCCTCGATGGTCTCAGCCTCAAATCAGTGCCAGTACTTCAATTATTACACCTGAACGCGCCGTAAAAGGGCCACCACCCACCCCGGTCCGGGCCCAGACGTCCCTAACTGCCCCCTCCTTCGTCTTTCCCCTCTCAACTGATCACCTCCTCCATCTAATTCAATATAATGTCTTCCGTGCTTTTGTCTCCAACAAGCGCACTCTCAATACTCTTCTGACGGGCTGGACTGATAATCCTCCCTCCCCAACCACCTGTCCTCTAAGCGGTCCTTACCGTGACGACACAAGCGTCTACCCTTTGAACCCCAACATTCCTCTCTCCCTCGCCCCGACCCGCCTCCAACAAACCCGCTTGCACTCCATTTGGATCAATTTCTTCCCCTTCCCCCGTCTCCGTGATAATCTTATAAGACGCGAAGGAACTTTTGACCACTGGGAGCTGCTACAAGACCTCATTGGTGAGCTCATGGGCGCCACGCCGGTTCAAAGACGACGAGGTACGCCCTTCACCTTTACTGTGTCCGATCCCCAAACTATGCGGACCCTGCCCCTCACAACAGGACGTGATGAGGATGAGGTCACCGCGGGGCGCAAGGGAATGATTGTTTGGGGTGAACCGTACGACATGCGGAACTGGGAGGTTACCCCCGGCTTTCTGGCGAACTGGTCATGGGCTGTGGAAGGATGCGACGATTTAGTCGAATCTAGTAACCACTGGAGGCTGATGAGAGGAGAGGAACCTATTCATCTCTCTGAAACGACAATGTAGCCGAATGTGTCTTAAAAAAAAGTGAAGGATGGCCGGCTACCGGGCAATAGGAACTATCCTTAAAGATACCGTCGATCATAGATTACACTTTCAAGGCTAACATGTGCTATGAGTCTGGTGGGGAGTTGCTCCCCAAATATTTCTATGTCTTCTTGATTCATATGGTTATATTTAACGGAAATAACGAGTTTGGCTGTATACAGGTGGGCCAGGTCCAGGGCAAGGCCCCTCTTGGTTCCCTACTTCTCACTATGCAAGCCCACAAGCTTGAGCGAGTCGCCCCAAAGCCTCTTCGCCTTCTCTTCGTCATAGGCGTATGGGGAATACCCGGGCGCAGAGAACTTATAATCCCCTTCCGCATATGGCTCTGCCACGGCACAATTAACGAGGTACTTGCCGCCGTCATGTTTCCAGTCCTTGCCGATGGCTGCCCAAACCGATGTTGCGGCACCTTGCTCAACGCTCTTCATGGTGGGGTACAAGTACTCCATTCCCTTGAAGGCATCCGGGGGCATATGCTGGGTCAGCCCTGTCTGGACCAGGCCCGGGTGAACGCTCGTGGCGTGTAGGTGGTGCGAGCCATAGCGGCGCTCGATCTCGTTAGCCATGTAAATTTTGGCCGTCTTGGATTGTCCGTAGGCCACACTGGGATCATAGTCGCCTTTCTGGAAGTCGTAGTTGTCGGGGTCATTGATTCCGTGAACGTTATGGGCCGAGGAGGAGAGATTAACGACGCGGGATGGGAGGTCCGGGGAGGCGGCGGCGAGAAGAGCAGGTTCCAAGAGATTGTAGAAGAGGAAATGCGAGAGGTGGTTCGTGCCGAATTGGAGTTCGCGGCCGTCAGCGGTTAGGCGGAGGTCCGGGATGGCCATGATGCCGGCATTGTTCACTAGGAGGTGAATCTTCGAGGTCTTGGCGAGAATGGCTGTGGCTGCAGCGCGGACGGAAGAGAGGCTTGCCTGGTCCATCTTGATAATCTCCATCCGGGAAGGTTCAAATATACCAGTGAGGGCGGATTGGGCTTTGGCGACGTCTCGGGCCGTGAGGAAGAGGGTGGCACCGGTGGTGGCCAGGGCGCGGGTGGTTTCGATGCCAATGCCGGAAGACGTACCAGTGATTACAATTACCTCGCCCTTGAGCTTGCCTTCGACGCCCTCGTCCTGGATGATTTGCAGGGCCGTCGGGCGTGCATCGCCAGGGCCGTTTGGCTTGGCGTGAGCTCCAGCGTAGCGCGACATGATTGCTCTGGCGAGGGAAAAGACTTGCTTTGATACCACGAAGAGGTTTGATGTGATTTCGAAGAGTTGGAATGATTTCTCAAGTCGGCTGGTTGCAGGGAGGGGAGGTGGTTCACTTATATAGTCAACTCAAAAGACGTCTTCAAGGCGCCGTGGGTTTGTTGCAGAGGAGCATTACTTGGTACAACTATGGCTTACGAATCACAAGAACACCTTAGAGACCTTTCCGGCGATAGGCTATATCGAAACCTCATACCACCTCTCCACATGCATGGCTTTTGTCGGTTTATACTACTTCCGTCGCTGATCCACGGCCCACTGTGATGACTTTTTTTCCCCTTCGGGTTAGTCACGCCCCACAAATTTGAGGTTCCAGGGCTCCGGTAAGTTAGTTCTGATTACCAAATGTTTGAGGGTTCGGGGTTAAGCATGCTTTTAGCTTATCGCAATAGTAATGTCATCGAGCGGAGTTAGAATGCAGTCACGGGAGCTCCGGACCAGTCTGTTCAACTTTGGTGAGACTCGAACTAGGCCGGAAAGGGGGAAAAAGTCATCATGGCGCTTCACAGATCTGTGACGGGAAAGGTGAATGGCAGTGCACGAGATTATCTTGATAGACCTTGGATGTGGAGCATTATTCACTGAACGGCGTTAAATTATGGATTTGCTCCTATCGCCGGGAAGGATTAATCCTGTTTCGAAATGAGACAGAGGCCGAGGTTAAAGTGGGTTGGCATTTACTTTTTCTTGTTCTGCATGGAATATAAATAAGCAGTGAGCCGAACGTGATATACAACTATAGCTTTCTTTCTCTGCTACCTAGGTACATCACTGTCTTCAAATCCTACCAGACTCTCTGAAAAATCCCAACAATTCGTTTCATCATGGCCTCAAGTTCTTCCTCAATGATCCTAAGAGAACGCATTGAGGCTACAGCCCGAGCCTTCCTATCCGCGTATGAAGAGGGCGGGGCCCAGAATGACGCCTCCATCATCAACCGCGACGTTACCGCGGACTGCACCCGGTATCTGCTTCCCGCAGCTGTGCCCCAGGCCTTTGGTCTACCGGCAGACTTCTTTTTCGACACGACGAACTATCAGGAGACTTTCGCGAAGGATATCAAGGTGATGAAATTCAGAAACAACATCATGGCGAACTTAGTCATCGACACTGAGGCCCGCCGGGCCGCTTTTACCTCTATCGCAGAGGTGTATCCCAACAGCGGAGAGTCTTACTCGGCCGAGCTCGCTTGGTTCTTGTACTTTAACGAGGATGGGTCTAAAGTCAAGAAAGTGGTTGAGTTCTGCGACAAGGACGTGATATTGAAAATGGCAAACACGACTGCCTAGCTCTGGTCTGCAGCGTCAAGATTTCATGGGAAATATAGGTATATGTCTTTGTTAAATACAAATCCAAAGATATTTGATTCCTAGATATGACATCCTTACACAAATTACCCTTTTCGGCAATTCTAGGCTCATGTAGTAAAATGGGCCGATGCGCCAGAGAAGAAGGATTTCTGGAACGCGAGGGTTCTATACAGTTGATGTTCATTATCCGGATGGGAAATATTCCCCAGCCGGAAATGGCCTCCGCTTTTGTTAACTGACATAATTCGTAAGCGAGCTGGGCTGATGGCAAAGTAGGCTTTGTAATTTGAACGGGCTGTTGAAATGATAACTCCTATAAAGAAGGTTGATTGGGATGGCTAACAGAGCCCGAGTAGATAAATAAACTACGTACGAGTAGTGCTTATCTAGAGATAATAGAGCAGCCTAGCAGAACAGTACTCACACCGCACAACGACTGCTCATTAGGGAAACCCTACAAACATGTTATCTTACGTCCCACCGGATGCAATTGACCTGTACCTCTGGCCTATATCGTGCCCGCTTGGTTTTCCGTTTTATGTGCGGAGTACACTATAGTAGAATTTGAGGGTTTGACTTTTTACATCAAGCGCCCTGTGCATATATCAGTGAAAATGGTCTATGGCCTCTGACGAGCAAAAAAGGAAAAAGGCAAAAAAAAGAGCAGTCATGTGAAAATACTGCAGTCAAATCCTCTAACATCGTACCACAAGCCCTCTACGTGAGCCACAAATAAGGAGCGGGTATCACTACTATCATGGACACCCTCAATTTAGGAATCACTTATATTGTCCTTACCAATAAGGTTTTGCCTTCGGCCCATGGGTCCACCTGGTTGGACTTTTGGTTCGGGAGTCCACTTGTTCGCAACGGCAGTAGGAGATCACCTTTGAGGGGAGCTGACGCTTGTCTCGGTCACCAGCCCAGCACGGTAAGTGGGCACTTGAAGTTAGGGGACCACTCCTAGTGACTTTTAGGAATAGAATATCTTCAGGATACTTATATTACAATTCATGGGGTAAGACGCACATGAGCCTTTTTTTCGGAGGAACCTTTCATCGTTAAAGACTCCCAGGATATTCAAGAGCAGAACTCCTTAGTAAGGTCACATTTTAGAGAACAATAATGAGGCCGACACATTTTGAGGGACTAAAGGATTGATAGGTTACACTTTCATGGGTTCTGAGGCTAGCCAATGTTATAAGATTTCATTTTTGAAGACCGACAATTTGATCCTTGATAGGACGTAGGTAATCAAGTCTAGCGGCTTTGACGGTCACGGATAACTTAAATCAGGATCTCGCTTGAATAGAAAAGCAGTATCTTCTAAAAACTTTTGTTCTTCAAGAGGACCTAGAAGGACTTCATAGGTGGATTGAAGCCTCCCTTATATTTGTTTGCAGTTAGTGGTCATAACCCGGGCAGTCTCTCGTAGAAACCTAGGCCTACGATCTAATAGGTAGAAGGGAATTAGTACATTACTTATCCCAGGCTCCTTCTTCAATACGGCAAAAGCATTATTTAGGCTAAGGTAGGATTGTGTGCTTTCCTATAATAAATATATTGTAATAACTGGTTAAGCCAGTGTAAATTATGTGTCTTTAATTCCTAGTTTCTCAATCATCAAGTAGACTGAGATTATATATATTTATAAAGCTTTATCAGCAAGTCTAATATCCTCCAAAGTCACAACAGCAAGATGGTGAGTAATAAATAAGAGATTCTTACCTAACTATAGTATTTAGATAAGATATTATAGTGTATTATCTAGGTTACCACCTGATATCAATTTATATAACACTGAAATAGTATTATAGTACTGGATACCTAAATAGTCGTAGAGGAGACTCTTGATAAATAATTACTTTAACTTCTCCTTGGTTATGTTTAGTCACCTAGATAGATCTATAGCTATCTCTGTAATATTTAATATAATTCTACTGTCACTATCAGTGAAGTTGGCTAGGTATTAAAGGAATTCTTTATCTAAAAGTGGGAATAACTCTAGAGTCTGTAAGGCCACTAAACAACAAGAATAGCTGTGATATTATCAGTAGTTAGCTTTGTAATAGTAAAGATCTCGTATTTATAGATAAGAGAATAGTGAACAGATTCTCTGTTGTTACACTAATAAGAGTAATTCTTTTTCTTTAAATAGTTTTAAGAAAGATATGTAAGGGCTACTGAGGTATCAGCCAGTACTGATTAGTTAGGTAAGAAATGTAAAAGAAGCCTAGGTATTGATTATAAAACAGAGACTGATTCTTGAAGAACCTTCAAAGAATCAAGCCTAAACCACCTATTTATAGTATAAAGTAATCCCCCGTTCTGTGGGATAGTTGTTCCTGAATCTGATACAGATTTGGCCTGATACTACCTTAATAATCCTCCTTCTGTACATAAATAGGTTCTGTACTAGTAGTAGCTTATACTCTTATCCTATGATAATAAAGGAGACTCTAGGGTTGATATTATTCCCTCTCTAATACTATATAATCTAGTATTATATAATTAGGGATTAATATTAAATTTCTATAATAACTGATTCTCTTCTCTTAAAGTATATTATATTTATTATAAAAGTTTCTACTATACTAAGTAAAATAGAGTAAATAATAAGGTAAAGAGAGTGTATAATAAAGAGGATCTCTTACTAGGTAGTAAAAGGATTATATATAATAACTTCTTTTATTATTATAATAAAGAGGTATAGATATAAAAAACTTGTGAAAAACTTGTAAATTTTAAGTGAAAATATTTTAGAAAATATCTGTTCTTTTTAACTTTTATCTACCCTATTACTAGTACTAATAATCTAAGTATAACTATATCTATTAGTACTATAACTATTATTACTACTATCTTAGTTACTAATTAGGATTATTATAGGGTATACTTTTAAGTTACTAAGTATAGGTTTTATATTTAATACCTAGATTATATAGTAGTATTATATACTAGCCTAATTAATAATTATCCTAGTAGTATATTTAGATTTAAGTATATTTAGAATTAAATTTATTCTAAGAAATACCACTATTATAATAGATAAGATACTAAAGAAAAATATAAAATAGTAAGTTTTCTAGAGAGTTTTTAAAGATTTATCTTACTAATATATTATAGATTCTAGTTAGTATAATAGATAATACTTATAATTTAGAACTTATCTTAGATTAGGCTTATTATATTATAGTAGGTATTACTAGTAGAGAAACTATAGATTATAGTAAAATTAATATTACTTAGAATCTAATATTATAAGAAACTACTAAGAAAGAGTCTACTTTTTTATAATAGCAATCTAAGGGATAGGCTAGAGATCTATAACTAGGTAAGACTTTAGATAGTAATCACAGAGTAGGATAATTAACTAATAATATATATAAATAGTAACAGAGACTAATTCTTAAAGAAACTTCAAGAATAAAGGAAATACTATGTTCAGTTATTTAACCTAACTATTATATAAATTAGATATAAATTAGTATTAAATTAGGTATAAACCCTTAGTATAGTTAAGATAAGATTAGATTACTATAGAAAATATAAAGAGAGTTAGTTACTTCTTACTAAAGTTTACTCTCTTTAATATAAACTCTATAATAACTATCTTTTCTTCTAATAAAGTCTAATCTTAGATATTTATAGTTAAAAAAATATAATTCTTTAAGTAATAGTTTAGTTAGATAATACCTATTAAAATCTATCTAATAATAATTCTAATTAGAGAATTTAATATAAGATAAGATAGAAGAAAATTAGAAAACTTACTATAAAAAAAACCCTAAAAACTATTAAAAGAGACTTTTAAAGATATTTAAAGAGAAAAGAAACTAAAATAGATTATTTAAAAGAAAGTTCTATTTAAAAATAGAGAAAATCTAAAATTTAAATAAGAAAAATCTAGAAAACTATTAAAAGAACTATTACTTTTTAGACTTAAGATATTTTTTTTAATCTAAGTAGAGATAAAAACTAGTTAAAAATCCTTCTAAGAGAGAGAGAAAAGATCTAGAAATCTTTTTTATAATTTAATTTATAAAATACTCTTTTTTTCTATATTTAGTATATCTTATACTAAATAATATAGAGATAGCTATCTAAAATTAATTTAGAGTAGTATTAAAGAAAAACTAGTCTTAGAGACTAATAGTTCTAAAAAAACTAAGAAAGAAGAAAATAATAAAAATATAGATAAGAAGAATAGATATAAAAATAAAGATTATAATAAAGTTTACTTTTCTTCTATTAAAATTTATATTCTTTAGATATAGAAAACTATTATACTAGTAAGAACTATTTAAAACTATAATAAGGAAAAGAGAAAAGTTTAGAAAATTATAAAGATTTAGACTATAACTAAAAAGAAAGAGATTACTACTTAGACTAAGATTTTAGTAAAACTAAAATTTATCTAAAAAGATAGTATTATAATATTTTATTCTTAAAAGTCTATATATAATTTTTATTAAAAATATCTTAACTATACTATTAGTCTAGAAAAGAATAGTAAAGTATTTAATATTAATTATATCTTTAATTAAGATATTTTAATATACTATATTTATTATAGTAATTTAGAGAAAAATTATATATATTAGACTATAAGTAATTCTTTTTAGTAGTAATTTAACTACTAATTAGTTTAGATTTCTAAATAAATATATAGAGATATATAAATCTTTATTAAGATACTCTATTAAGTTAAAAAAATTATTATAATAGAGAGATCTATATTTATTAGAGTTATAGATAGTAGTATAGTAGTTATAGCTATTTTTTCTATTATTAATATCTTTTAAAATATTTATAATATCTAGATTACTTAGAATTTTACTATATAATTAACTATAATTTAAGATTCTTATTCTTTAGAAAGATTATTCTCTTATATTTTTAGTTAATATAATAGTTAGTATAGTTTTTTTAATAAGAAAGAACTAATACTAAGACTAAAATTATTTATTTAAAAGTAA